CCACATTTTCTAAATTGTCTCAGACAGAAAGCCCAGTGGCGAAAGCATCCTCGCCCAACCCAAACGCTGGCTCAAGCACCAGCAATATCAATGGCGACATGTATATTGCAGATGGAGACTACATCAAGGACATTGAGGTCAATGATCTACGAAACAGATACACGCTGACCAAGGGTTCAACACAGAAGATGGTAATTATTCTTGTCATATCCACTGATACTCCCAGGTGCCGCCGTTCAAAAAGTCATGTCACATTCATGCGGTTCTATATTCCTATCTATTATCTTTTGTGGGAGACTGCTCGAAGCTTACAATGGGCTGATCTAGCACTCTGTAACCCCTCTTTGGCATCTGCTGACCTCCACTGCGTGACATCTAGATTAAAGAAGAGACTGGCGCCGGTACGCTTTACCTGACATTTACAGATTTTGAAGTACAGAAGCTCATAGTGTAAAGATGTCACCACCCGAGGAAATTATTATCCCGACAAAAGCATGGCCACTGCAGCGGTACGTCTCTATCCTTTGGTGACGAAATCTAAATACTGATTCCTACAGAATCCGCCCCTCTACCTTCACATTACCAGCACTTCGAAAGACGGTCTTGAGTTAGCGGTGGAGAAGGTTAATGAGCTTATGAAGCAAGAGTTGCCAAACCTTGTCGATGAGAGACGTTTTAGACGTAGAGAGCCGGATCAAGTTGAGCGTGATGAGTTTGGACGAGTAAGCCCATATCCACAAATGCCCGGGCAAGCTAACGACTTGCAGCGCAAATGGCCTGAAGAGCGCATTCCCATTGATCTTGAGCCAATCCCTGGCTTCAACCTTAGGGCACAGGTGGTAGGTCACGGTGGTGCTTACGTCAAGCATATCCAGCAAGAAACTCGCTGCCGTGTGCAAATCAAAGGCCGCAACTCTGGTTTTATGGAGCACGGCACAAACCGAGAGAGCGATGAACCGATGTATCTCCATGTAGCGTAGGTGCTCTCTATCAGCTGATCTAAACAAAGGTCTCGTACTGATGATGATAGTGGACCTGATCCCGCAGAAGTCCAGCACGCGAAAGATCTTTGCGAATCACTACTCGAGAACGTCAAAGAGCAGTACGCTCGCTTTAAGGAGAATCCACCCCAACAACGCGGTTACGGCTACCAGCAAGGAGGCGATCGTCAGAGCTATGGAGGTGGCTATGGGTCGTATGGAGGAGCGCAGTCTCCAGTGGCCACTGCGACCCCGGCGACGCCCGGCCCGCCAGGAGCTAGCAGTCCGACAGATTACGCTGCTAACTACGCCCAATATTACGGCGGCCAAGATCCTTATGCCGCTTATGGTGGTTATCAGAATTATATGGCATACTATCAGTACTACCAGCAACAAGCCGCACAACAGTCAGGTGCCCCGGGTTCGGCTCCACCTGCTCCTCCAAACGATGATGCGCCGCCACCGCCACCGCCCAGTGGGTCTCCTCCCGCTGCAAATGGAGGCTATAATTCGGTAAGCTGGATATGCCCTTGCGAATTTGCGTAAATGAGCCTAGAGATAAATTGCTGCTGACGAAGAACGAAACAGGTCCCGCCACCACCAGGCATGTGAGTTGAGGTGGGCGTGTAGGTGGAGGAGAAGAAGCACGTACAGTCTCATCGCCATCCCCAGTGGCTTCAGTTCTTTGTCTGCACTTGGTAGAACACGAGAGCTATTCTTCCGACACCATTTGCGGAGTCTAGAGGTTTGGTCAGATCCAGAATTTCGAAAAACGTGAGCTCATCTGTATTCTAGTAGGCACGCAATGCAATGCGATACAATACAGTAGAATACAGTACATATCCGCTCAAATGTGCAAAAGCCAGCTTCGTAGTGGAGCACGCGGTGACCATCTTCCAGCCGGCGTGAGAAACAATTAATCATACCCATCTTCGTAGAAATCTTCACGCTGCCTCTGTGTAGAGACCCATTCCTCGCTCGCGAGGTCCTCTCTCTTCCTTTTCTTCAGACCCTGTCCTTCAATGCAACAGTCACATCCCTGTTTGCAGGGCTCAACGCCCTTCTCTCCGAAGAACTCGCCAATGGTCACATGTCGACACCGATCTGTTTGTTCGCAATACTTGACTAGCGCTTGGAACGATTCGGCGCGAGACTTGAGCTGGATTTCTTTGGTCTTGGCTGCGCCGTCTCCGCTGCCATAGCGTTGCCCATCACCGCCATTGCCATTGTCTCGTGCGATGCGATACCCTATTCGATCGCGGTCCTCTCTCGAGTAGAATACCATACACCTAGCAGCTCGTCCGTCTCGGCCTGCCCGTCCAGCTTCTTGGTAGTACCCCTCAAAACTCTTCGGCAAGGTCCAATGCACTACGAACCTCACATCCTGCTTGTCAATGCCCATTCCGAATGCTGTGGTAGCTATTATGATGTCGTAGCCAGGAGCACTGGCGATCCATTTGCTCTGACATTCGTTGCGCTCGAGGGTAGAGAGCCCCGCATGATAGGGAGCGGCGCCGATCTTGTGTTCACGCAAGCGGGCAGAAAGCGCATCGCAGTCGGAGCGGTAGGAAACATATATTATACCAGAGATGGCGTCAGAGCGCTGGTTGTTAGTCGAGCTTTCTTCGGATATCTCCTGGGAGCGTGTAGGGTCGTTGGCGCGACGGGCGTAGATTTTCTGGAGCCAGGAAAGCAGCCAACAGAACCGATTGTCAGACTCGTCAGATGTGAAGCGGACCTCGTAGACAAGGTTGCGGCGAGTGGTTGAGGCGACAAAAGTCTTGGTATTTGCAGGGTTGAGTCCAAGGGTTTTAATGATGTCCGCCACAACAGACGGCGGGGCGGTCGCTGTAACGCAGGTAATTGCCACGGTAGGGTAGGCGAGACGAAAATGTGACAGATGGCAATACGCTGGGCGAAAGTCGTGGCCCCACTCGGAGATACAGTGGGCTTCATCTATAGCAATACGAGAAAGCTCTCCTTGACTGTAGATTGTTTCAAGAGTTCGACGAAATGTCTCCGTAAGTACGAGCTCTGGTGTGACGTATAAGAGACGGGTCATTGGGTGGCCTGCGTTGTTTGGTATTTAGCTGGGAATACTGAATGGAACTGATTCTGCATACCGCAGCAGAGGTCTTTCGTAATGTCCCTACGATCTGCGGTAAGCGTGCTGGAGTTGATAGTCGCTACTGGAATATCCGCTGCACGTAACGCCGCGACTTGGTTATTCATTAGAGCAAGCAGGGGTGAAACGACGACAGTGATCCCATGGTCAATCATAGCAGGCAACTGGAAGCATAGACTCTTCCTAATGACTACGTCAATAGGCACTTTGGAAAGAAGCCGAGGAAGCAATTACCCAAACGAAGTAGCTGTTTTTGACCGGTAAGATGGTTGTATGCTTGTCTAGGTCTCGATGAAGAATGCTCACCAGCCTGAACAAAGACATCATGCCCTTCTAATGCCGCTGTGATAATCTCACGCTGATATGGTCTGATGTTCTGTCAAAGAGAGGCAACGAGCTTAGGTAAGAACAGGAGCACATCTACCTAAAGTTGGCTTTCCCAAAGACTCTTCGCAAAGTGAAGTCGAGGTCGATAGGGGTGTTCTTGCCCGTATGCTTAGACATGCCGAAAAGAAAAGGCCTTACGATTCTCGACACAAGAAGTCGTCCTGGGCACAGAGAGTGAAAATGTCTAGGAAAATGATCAAAGGAAGATTACGGGCTCGAACCCGCATTCCAGACAAATGAGTGGTTGTAGGAACCAATTTAAGGCGTACGGTATTCTTGACAAGTCAAGCGAAGTAGAACTCACAACATTTTCAGAAGAAGAGGGGATATCCAAGACGGTTTGAACCCATGACGTACACAGTCCAGAAAACCACGCTGCCACTCGTACTCTACGCGATATGGGGTCAGAATTGACCTGAATTTTTGAGAGACATAATGGAAGGTGCAAGGGACTAGATAATGCGGTATCGAAAATAAGCGGCGCTTGCGGTTGCCGCGGTTGCCAGCCGGAAAGAAAAAGCTCGTACTTTAAAGTTGCTTGACAATTGACACCCTGTGAATTCATTCCGTTCTCTACCACACGTGAGTCAGGTCCCGAGCTCAAGCACGATATCATAGCGGACGACTCGGCACTCATCCTCTGGGTCTCCCGATTCCCCTTCATTGCGGACACTTCAACCCGCGCCATGGCTCGTGGCAACCAGCGTGACAAAGCTCGTGTAAGTTGTGCGGGACCAAAAAACGCCCCTCTGAATATGATGCTCATACTCCGCAGGAGAAAAACCAAAAAGAAGCAGGTGCCCAGAAAAAGAAGAACACTGTCAGTCAATTCCCATCTAAAACCTACCAGATGCGCTTTCCTTGGCCCCTGCCTTCCCAGGAAACACAGACTGACATAGCCACGGCGTCCTTTAGCAATCGGGTACCGAATTCCAACGTACCAAAGAGCAGCAGGCAGCCATAATGCGCCAGAAACAAGCCGAAGGTACGTGGAAGTGATAGCGAGAGATCTATGCACCCTCTTGCCAATACCGCAAAAGCTGGAGGGAGAAGTGACTATGCTTATGCCCGTGTAGCTTTTGCCAAGAAGGACGGTGCTGCTGGTGGTGACGGGAAGAAATAGAGAGCGACAAGAAGAGTTTACACAGGGTTGTGAGAGTTAGGGAAAGGAGGACGATCGTTGATGGATCATGAGATTGCTTGCGGCTAGAGACGGCTTCTGTGTTCTCACGAGACAAAGCTTAGATGATTGATGAAGGGAAGGTTTATTTTAGAGGAGTTCCGAAGAATCCTTGCACATTTGCTTCCACGTCCAAAGAAGAGGTGGCCGGTAAGCATGATAGTGATTTGTTAAATTCAGTAAGACGTCCCGAATTTCTGATATCTCACCCGTATGACATCTTACAAGATCTCTCAAGACATGATGCAAACTTTATATTCGCCTGTGATCTTCCATTTTCTCTGTATATGTACAAGATTTCTCAAGCCTTTCCACCGCCGTGCGCCTATCAGCTCAGACCGGTGTTCCTCGGCAACTCTCCAAACTCGTTGGTCCTGCGGGAAGGCGAGCTTCCCTGGCCATGTAGAGCGTCTTCGACGAGAGATGTATGGTCCAAAGTTCTGTTTCCAACGTGCATAGGCTGCTCGTAGAGTATGGGTCCCCAAATCCGCCAGTGAAGCTCGGCAATGTGCGATATACGCTTAGCAATATGGACCAAGCCCTCATTCTCACTCTGAACGGCAAAGCCCGGTTTCTGGGGGACTAGGCGCCTCATGAGCTGTACGGGGGTGAGATCGTCTATCGCGCACACTTCGTCGTCGACTTTGTCTTTCAATGCTCGAGCGAGAGAACTCCGCAGGGCTCCGAAGACAGGCTTTTTCGGGTCGCAACAATGGCGTAGACAGGTCTCTGCAAACTCCAGGTGTTCGGACGCAGGCAGCTCGCGATTGCCGCAAACCTCGTATGCCGCTCTGACAACCTCCAGAGCTACAGGACCCCTCTTTTGCCAGTAATCATAGCGCAGTCCTTGGTCCGATATCAAGTCGGCCACTCTGAGGAACAATTCGGCATATGACCTTGGTAATATCTTACCCGTCCAGCCGAGGAACTGTAGTGTTTCGTCCAAGGTCCGTCGGCATGCCGCTTGGTAAACCAAAGCTTGAAAATTCAGCTGCACTGTCCGAAGGCGGTTGTAGTCGAGACTTAAGGTGGAAGGGAAATTCTTGTGATAGAAAACGACAGCATCTGTAAGGGCCTTCACAAGAACCCACAATCCTGAACCGGATTCTTCATCTGCTTCTTGAAGATTCTTGAACCAAGTCCAGGCCCCTATAACATCCCATCCATCTGCTATTCGTCCAAGGAAGGCGTTCTGCTCGAACGCGATTGTGTCTTCTACCCAAACCAAGCGCAACCTTCTTATTGAATGATTGGTAGCGTCCTGGAACAAAAGTTAGCGGTCAGATCCATTGATTCTAGAATGAGAACTGTAGGCCAGCTCACCAGATTCATTCCTTGCAAGAGTTCGAATATGGTAATAAGACCGTGGATGATGCTGTCTGCCTCTGCGTTCTCTACGCCCAAGCGTATTGCTGAGGTCATTGTATGCAGTAGACGATCTCGCGTTGGTGAACAACAGTGTCTCAAGAAGTTGCCAAGCCAATCACTGAGGGCCGTGAAATCGCATATTCCACGCTCTAGTTGCTGCATCAGGAACTTGACATCGAGACGTGCATCTATTGCGGGCCACTCTTTAGAAGGAAATGAATGCTTCAATATGTCTCGTACAGCTCCAAACAATCGAGGAAGCCTTAGAGCCGTCCCTTGAGGAAAGCTTCTGGGTCTTGGCCGAGGCAACGATGTGCACGAATTTCGACTTAAAGGGCAAGCAGCAATGCTCTGGCCATGCGCTGACCACAATGCGATCTCTGTTGCTATAGCGCGCCAATATTCGACTGCCCGCTCTCGTCTTCCTTCAGCTTGCGGCCCTTGTGTATTAAGTCGGAATGCAATCTTAGGGTCAAAGTTGAGGTGGTGCCTAAAGACCAAATCGTGTTTGAGTCGTGGAATGTCTATTTCGCTCAGGACTGCTTGGGTGATAGGAGGGTCAAGACTGACAAGGCTGAAATCTGTGGAATGGTCTGTGCTGATAGTCAATAGACGGGGCGACTCCTGTGCCCGATGTTCCCAATTGGCTCCGCTAGATAAGAGGTACGATGCTGAGGGTGTGGAGGGTAGCGCAGGCATAGAGTGCCTTGCTTTGGTCTTCTTTTCCGCCATCACATGCTTAGATGATGCCTCCGTAGAGCATGTGTCCACCGAACTTCGTCTACTACCATGCATCTTCCTTTTCCTAGTGCACACGTAAGGGCTGTTTTGTAACGGCGATTTCGACGGTCGCAAATTTCCACTCATGATCTCTGGGATCTATTCACCGATTGCGATTACCGTTTTTAGGTTGACAAAATTTGAGAATACTCTCCGTCAAAGCATTTGTAGTATTGGATTATCTGAAGATGGAAATTGCATTACACGCTTCGCTGGGAACATCGTATGATCTTTGTTGCGCGTTTGCTAGAGTTTGCTGGCACTCACAGGATAAAGCAAAACTTCATTCGTTGGCTTTGACGCAACGTCTTTGATGTGAAAGAAACAGTTTGCCACGCTTGAAGCAAAGGTGGAAAGAGTGGAAACTTTTTGGTACAGTGCAATCAATGTATCCGTAAAGAGACTACACACCATCATCGCGGGAAAGCAGAGAATGAAATGAGAGTTCATTATTTTAGCATCACACCCACGAACACGAAGACTACTCAGAACAGGGCGTGCTTTTCAGCTGGATTTCGCGCGAAACATAACTTGTAAATAGTGAGGCTCAACGAAGAGGGGGATCTGGCATATTATATCAGCGCGGCAATTACCTTATTTGATCAAAGCAACGGACCCGCGAGCAGTGCGCCCAATCAGCATCGCACAAATCAACATCCTGGTTTGCAGACAAGTCAGAATCAAGTCATGCGGATGAAGGAGGCCTACAGAAGATACAGCAGAGCGGTAGCTTTCCGGGCAAGCGACTCTTCCAACTCGACAAGTCGGGACACGATGCGTTGACTATTGCAGAGAATTGGAAGACTTGCCACTCAGTGCCAATAAGATTAGTAGCAAGAGTCAGGCCGTGCCCAGAAACCAACTTTGGAGAGTTACTAACATGTCCGAGCGATCATGTAGAATCAAGTCCCTCAACCGAGAGCCTGGGTCGGAGCAAGAGGTTCACTTCAATCCAATCGGAGTACCGCTAGACAGCTTGTCCAATGAACGAGGGCCTTGACCTTATGCACGTTCACCATTACGGAAGCCTCGCGCAGGGTTGGTTGGACTCTATCGTGCCCTTGAATCTCGTGGGAGGGGTGTGGGGGGGTGGATTCGTGGCAGAAAGTCCGAGCATGAGCGACACGTCGTCAACTTGGAGGTATAATAATAATCGTTCCAATAGCAGGGATATAGTGAAAGGAGGAAGCAATCAACCCCGCAGTAGAGCTTTTTGACATTTTAACATTTAGATTTTTTGACCATTTAGATGTTTTGATGTTTTGATATTTTGACACTACGACACCGGGTTTTGCTAACAAGTGATTACTACTTAGGGTGGTGGTGGTGCACATATGCCGTGATGATTCGATGAAGAGTTGGTTTTACTTTGTAGATTACAACATAGGAGAAGTGTTTACGCGGTACGGATCCAGGGGTATACTAAGTAAGGTAATGTACCTATGTACGGGATACGGGTAGACTTAAGGTAGAGAAGAAAAGAAGCGGGCCAATGCAAATACCAATGCGAATGCAAATGCTACTGCAACTGCTACTGCAAATGCAACTGCACATGCAAAAGCAATGCAAGGACCCTTCTGACATCCGTGAGGTGAGGTATCCAAGTAGTACCCAAGTGCGTACAGTAAATAGGTAAATCACATCTGTTCAGTACCTAAGTTATACATTAGCTATAATTATCACAAGTACATTCACAACGATGAAGTACTAAAATACTTCGTATCATGCACAAGCACGCCCCGTGGCCCCACAGTCGGGTGAGGCTACTCCTCCTCAGCCTCCTCGGCTCTCGCCTTGTCGCCTCATCGAATTTCCCTTACTCGTAGGGCTGAATGTGAGTTGGAGTGTGAGTGGAGTCCGAGGCCTTACCTACCTTACCTTAACCTAGCAAGCTTTCATTAACGATAAGGTACTTGATTATTACGATTACTGATTACTCTAATAGTAGCAGCAGCACCGAATTCATTGCTCGAACACATTGCCAAACCAGAGCAATTAAGGAAGGCAATGAGTGTTGGGGTCACATCTTCTACTGCGCTTGCCTTTATCGTCACATGAGACCTCCAAATTGCTTCGCATTGGATGTACATGAATCATGCCAGGGCAACGAAACAAAAATGCTCGTTTTCCGTCACCTCATCTGCAACTGTCTCAACTCCGCGCTCCGTAACGAGCGTTTTCCTCCTTCACAAAAAGGCACGATTTGATATCCTTTGCTTTCCAAATAGACTTCGCGTTTTACTCACAGTCTGACCTTGACGGTGATCACAAATGGACGCATCCGCTGGCGCTTTGAAAGCCTCCGCCTAAAATGGTAACGACAACCCAGACTTCCATGATGCTTCGTATGGCCTCTTGATGCTAGTCTTGCAAGGCCAGACCCTCAAGACAAATACCTTCCAATCCTCAAATGACACACGGAGCGGCTGCTGGCGGAAAAAAATATTGATGGGCCTGCACCTACTCTGCTTCTCGTTGTAACACCTCGCTTTCGGCATCTCCAACAAGTTCACATACTACTTTGTCAAGTCATCTACTTATCTCTCACATACTAGACACGACTTTATCTACTCCATGGCTTTCTCTATCTCATGCTTTGTTGATCTGAGCTACTTTTGCTCACAGTGCTGACGACAATTGCCCTACAAATCTTGACTTGGGCTTCGATGCCAACAAATACATTGTAGGAACTCTTCCCAATGTCAGCTTCGACTTGCCAACAAGTTGTGCTGGCATCCTTCCCATTCCCAATACCACCACCGATGGACTGTTTCCCTCGCTGTTCGAAGCAGAGGTACCAGCCCAGAGAGAGGACCTCATAAATAAGGCTTCCTGGGTGCTGGCCATGCTGTGTTATACGACCAACCCACCGCAACGTTAGCATGCGTCAGAAACTTTGTGGTTGGAAATGCTAGGTATCAGTAGCATGGAAAGGTAGCAGGGAATACGAGAGGCTCTAGAAAAGGGTTCTTGAACAAGCTATGCACGAACCGAAAGTGTTTGCAAGACTGCCTGTCATGAGCAGAAAGCGGCTTTGTCGTAAATTGAAAGAAGAATTTCCGATATATTTGAGGCCGAAAAAGGTAAAAGTCCTTCTTTTGCATTAGCCAATCGTCGCAGGGCCCCGAACGGACAGAAGCTGAAGACCATTTTGAGGGGAAACATAACAGATCGTAGCCATAGAACGCAACAACCTATAGTCTCAACTTCCTGGGGTAAGGCGGAACGTCTCATTTCTTCTTCGTTGTTAGCCAACCAGTGCTCAAAAACCCCCTGTCTCCCATGACAGTCATCCACTGAATATCCAAATTCCCGAGCAGAGCCCTGCCATCCTTTGTTACTTCTTTACCTGGACCATCCTTTTGCTGCTCGACTAGGAAGGCGATCTGCAACACGTCCCGGGGCGCCATACTGGGCTTGTCACTATGGCGCATGCGTAATCTCTTCGCGTCCCAATTGAGAGATGTGGATATGAACGCCGGTTTTGGATTGAGAGTAGCTGTCTCAAGCGTAATTGTCCCATCCGCAAAATTCTCTAATTGGGCCTCGAGGGCATATCTCGCTGCCCGTGATTGAGAGTCGCCAGAGTCCGCAGATGGTAGGATTGACACCTTCGTCCGCACACCAAGGCAAGGCCGTGCAACAAATTGGTACAATTTGCGGAAAGTCCTGACACGCCCACTGGACGCAGACTGGTCTTTGGAGACCGTAGTTTCAGAGTAGCTCACGTTCACGGCAAGAGTATGGTTACCCTCTTCTCTAAGCTCAAAACGGACGATTTTTTGCAAGGATTCCCCAGGGTCCACTTTTACAGCTTCCTGGTCAGCCGGGGACACTTCAAGGGTGTTGATACCGGACGGCGCATGCATTTCGGCGTCTACCCTTACGGACGTGACTTGACGCTCAGAGTCTGCTGAAAGTTCGTTGTTTGCACATAATGTGCATGAGAAAGTCTCTCCGACGTATGCAGAACCAAAAGCCGGAGGTAAAGTGAGCTGTAGTACAAGTAAGTAAGAACGGGATTGCCTAGATCAATCATCAACATACAACGGAATTGAGTAAGAAGTGGTCGTCAGTCTCGCTAGGTTCACGGTCAAGTGCTGCGTGGTGATCGATATATAATGCGGATTGTTTTGGTGGGAGCGGAAGAGGAAAATGTTGCGATAGAGACGGTCTCGACAGTCTTCCAAACCCTTAGAAATCGCCAGTACAAGGATCTATGGTGACTTACCGCAAAACTGATGTTATCAGTCATTATTCAATGTGGATCTGGAAAAGATGCACGCACCTTTCAAGGACACTGAGTGTGGCTCTCGAGGCGCTTCCATAATTGAAACAGACAACCTCACATCAATATTGGACACGCAAAATCAGCCGTTTCCGAGGCAAGAGTAGTCCGATGTCAGATTTATAGTAAGCTCTTGATAAACGCGTTATCCTGAGGTATGCTTTAGTCGCTTTTGGAGCTAGTCGGGTATCTAGGGTTGGGGCTTTTATGACATCAGCCTACAACTCTGTTTACTTTCAACTCCCTCACCAAATAGTTACCGACATTGTTGGAGTGCTTCTACGAATCCCATGATATCGTCTCCGCGTTCATCTCGGGTTTGGGGTTGATATGCCTAGCTGGCCGTTCTGATTGTCGAGCATATAAAATCTTCGACCTCCGGATCTCCTACAAATCGGCAACCTAATGCCCTGCGAGTCACCGTCACACCGCATAGACACCTCCTGTATCCATTCAGAAGGTATGATAGAAGATCATGCGACATCGCCAGTGGATAAGGCAGCATGCTTTGTACCCACCGCCTCGAAGAAGCGAAAGAGAGCCGCCACACCCACTCCTAAGAGCAAAGGACAGGTCATGGACCTGACACAGGAAAACGAAAATCAGGCTCACTCCCCACCGGCCAAGAAAAACAAGGGTGCATCCGCTCGCAAAGCACAAAATGAAGAGAAGCGATCGAGGAGGTTTCGACCACATGCCCCGTCAAGCTACCTTGAGAGGCTGAATCGAGCAACTACTCAGAGGTGAGAGCCGCAAAACACTGGGTACAACATCAGGACTTACCATGGCTTGCAGGATGTTTGTCATTGATCGAACGCGCGGGGGCACCATAGAGATTCCCGAAGAGACAATTGTACGTATTTTCGGAGCCCATATTTTCCCTTTTGGAGCAAACCTTGAGTCTTGAGACATGCCTCGGGAGACTTCACTCTCGATATATGTTCCAAGGTTCGATAAACCTCTACAAATAGGCAATACTGACTGCGAATTTGTAATCCAGGATCTTGCAGGCACTACGGGCAACGTCTACAGGATTACTATCTGCCAGCTACCCAGTTGCACATGTCCAGATAGCAGGAAGGGCAATCAGTGTAAGCACATTGTATATGTATAGCTGTCCAGCAACCTGTGATTTTAGATAAATCGCTAATCGCCTACCGAAGGTTTTGCACAACGTCCTCAGAGCCCCTGAACATCTACAATACCAACTCGCCTTTCTCTCCTCTGTATGTCCGATTTAGGTCCGAGAAATTCATCTAGCCACTAATTGTGGTCTAATCCTCAAGGAACTGCGTGAGATATTCGCCGCTGCACCCGCAACCGCGTCGACGTCTGCCTCTTCCGATGCACCTTCCAATCGTAAAGAAGTCTCCGGTGATTGCCCAATTTGCTTCACCGAACTTGAGGCGGAAACAGAGGACTCCATTGTCTGGTGCCGTGCTGCATGCGGAAATAACTTGCACAAGGACTGCTTTGAGCAGTGGGCAAGGAGCCAAGCTGGGAAAGAGATTCGATGTGTGTATTGGTAAGTCGGTCCTCGATGCTGCGAAAATGAAGAAACATACTAATCTGATGCCCTCTCAGCCGTACACCATGGAAGAGAGACGAGGAATCGCTCGAGCGAGTTAAGAACGCCGGAAAAGTCAACGGCGAGGGATACGTAAATGTAGCTGGAGAGTTGGGCTTATCAGGAGCACGAGATAATTCGACCTATCACCAGCACTGGGTACGACGTCGGGAACTAGGCTACTTCTGAAGATCGCCTCAGGATCGAGACTTGATCGCTTCCTGTCGACTTTCGAGCGGTCAAGAGTCCTGGACAATCTCTGGCTATAGTCGCTATGTGCTGAAGGTCAGCACTGGTGCTTGCTGAGGCTCGATCATTTGCTCCGAGATACCCAGCTCATGCTTTTCACTAGACGCTGTCGTTGCATCCGGTCATATCGGCTAAGGCGACCTGCAAATTGTCCGACGTTGAAAGTCGTGGCAGCGTTAAGAGACATTGCAGAAGGCAGGTACTGCCGAAAGCTAGATCCTCGGCAACCCCACTCTGTAAAGTAGATGGTGGACATCCATCTCGAAAGCGCACTCATCAAGACTGCTAAAAGGTGCAAGCGTGTCTCACTTGTAGCTGCAACTAGCGATGTGACCAAAAGCCTTGCAGTAATTACACTTTCAGTAATTACACGTGAAATTACTGCAAAGCAATTGGCCTGACGGTCACGCTAGTAGGGCACTAGTAGGTACTTAAAATTTGGCCTGGAATCCACCTGTTGAGAGGTACCATTTCCGTGTAATCTAGTCCTACTAAGGGTACTCTTGCGAGTCAAGAAATGAGGCTATACAGATCCGAGGTACGTTCTCTTTGGCTATGTGTTCTGATAGGAGGCATGCTTGGTGGGAGGTCAATTGATGAAGAAATGGTAGGTTTTGAAGAATTTTCTCCGCAAGATATTGCCAAGACTATGGATTTGGCCAATCAGAAGGCCTACATTTGGATTACTAAGCGCATTTCACGAATTACATGCTGTAATGCTCTAGAGGCCTGACATACGGTAATTACTGTAAAGCATTTGCTTTGCATGTAATATCACATCGCTAGCTGCAACTATCCAATTACCTACCTACCTATATTCGCAGAGCTCAACGCTGAGATGCACGAGACTAGAAACGACCAAGCCTTTGCTAGCCCCTGAAGGCCACGCGTTTCCCCTTTTCGAAATCATATCCCTTGGATCTGGTGGGCTCATGAAAGTTGTGGAAGGCTTCCACGTTGCGGGTTGGGACATTATTTCACGTTTTGAACACTGATACTTTACGCATGCGTTAGAAAATGATGGGACCAAGCAGAGTGCTCGGGACAATAAAGTAAATAAGAAAATCTATAGATAGATGGAACTTGTAAAGTACTTTAGCTCAGAAGTGCTCGGACAAGCTTAAAACGCTAGGGTAGTAGGCGTAAGGTAGGTACGGTACATGTATTGACTTCTGTCCAATAGAATAATCTCTCAGTCTTTAACTCTTCTATCCCTGTCCTCCACCTACTCACCCCGCTTGTCCTGGTAGATAACCGCGTAGAGCCTCTCCTATTCCGATCTGTCGGATTCGAATAATACGGGTAACTCACAGAATACATATAATTATTATGCAACCTGTCATATAAAATTTAAGCCTTAACGGAAAGCTCCGTGACCTCCCCAACGCTCCTTTAGCTGCTCGATCAGCACTCGTGGCAGGCAATTGGCAGGGCAAAGATTGCTCCCCGGTTGCCCGTCAGAAGATCGTCCTGATGATCCCTGGAAATTAAAGTAAAGTACGAATATTGATTGCGGGGAAGTTGATGATAGATATGCTTTGCCTGATGACTGATAAAATATGGCACAATTCCCTCGAGACGAGTACCATAGTACCGTACTGTAAGGTACCTACATAAGCGCTGCAGTACAAACTAAAGTACACAAATGAGGTAGGCCAAGCTCCAAAGGGCCGTTTTGAAGCAGCGCGCGGCAGGCTTGGCTCCCCTATCGACTCGTCCCTATCAATATCAGTATCACTATCACGGCCACCACGGTTGTGGGTGCATTGTCCGCCGTCAAGACATATGCAACTTTTCATGCTTGCATATGGGGCCCACTCATCATCCTTGATTTGCAAAAGTCGCGCCAATCTACCACAGTCATTACGAGCACAACCATAGGCCTGACGGACCATCCAACAGAGAGAGGGTATCTATGACATGAAGCCCGGGCAAAAACCCTCTCACTTTGCACTTGCTTCCCCCACACTCGTTAACCCTTGACAGCTTCGAGCCCACTCCAATGGCTCCGACGCAGATCATAGACACCTCCAATTTTCCCCTCAGTGACTGGTTCTTCATAGCAGGTACGTGACCCTTCTTGCCTATTGCATCTTTCCCTAAATAGCTTTACAGGTGTTGAGAGTTATCAACTTCGTTGGGGGAAGGATGAAGAGCCCACGGACCTTGCCCCTACAGCGCCTGTCGAGCCTACAATTGAGGAGGACAGGGCTGCCGAAGCCGAAGGGGACCTGAAAGGTGCAACAAACAAGAAGGCCAAGAGAAATTCGTACCAGCGCCTGTCAAACCTCTCGGACGAAGCACGCTTGTCAATAACATCCTTATCCCTTTCCCCGGAGAGGAAGGGCACAGACAGCAACCGAAGTAGTACTACAATCAAGGGGTCCCAGGTCAACGGCAACGGCCGCCTGCTTAGCGACACGGACTTTGAAAATGCCTTGAAGAAATTTGCTTCCCAACGAGACTCCTTCCTGTCGGATTTGACCCTCAGCGCAGGGGCGGTGGTGCCCAACAGGCCTAGGGCTCGGCCCAAAACACAGAAAATTGTCAATGAAGATGCAGCCGGTCTTAAGTCGACAGTTGGGAGCATACGGAGGCGGATCTCCTTTCGGGATATGAACAGTATGAAGAGGCAGTCATCTGTCAAGAGACAATGTCGGTAAACCCCCTGTCCTATCATCTGCCATTACAGCATCCCTAGCGAATCGATGTGAATTGTCCCAAAGGGTACTGATCCTCGTTTGTATGCAGCCTCGGTCCGAACGTCCAAACGATTGAGCAACTACAACTCTGTCATACCCAGCCCTCAGCCTTTGAATGACGAGGTCAACACCCATCCTTTGAAGCGAAGGTTCGAACCAGTGCTTCTAGACCGGTATCCCCCCAGAAGCATGGTGGAGGAGACCAAGCGAAGAGGGACTTTCCCAGACTACGTCCCAATGTTTGCATTTGCGAATGATATCCACATCGTCTCGGCAGATGAGCGACCGCGTGCGACATGGCATGGCTTCGCAATGACCTCTAGCGACAATTCACGGCTCTACGGCATTTGCATAATTGTGTGGATTCCTCTCAATGAGCGGGCGTCTGGAGAGCTGGAACGAGAATGTGAGAAGTGGAGGCGAGACAACATGACGGACGAGGAGCGAGAGCTAGCAAGCAGTCTAGGAGAGCGGCTCGCCGTTGAGAGGATCAAACTATCAAGGTTACTCGCACGCTTGCCAACAGTGGACTCTGGATCTTCAGCAAGAGAGGAACTTGAAGACGACATTAGTGCTGTGGAGGAGAAGATAGGTCTGATGGCGGATCTGCTTAGACCGGTGAGGCACGGTGCTGCAGCAAAGATCGAAGGCCTAACCAATGGCGAAACCGGCCTTTGGATACCGCGATCATATGGCATTCTTGGGCGCGATCCGTACCTAACGAGCTTTTGGAAAGAATGGCTCAAAGCGGTAGTGGTACCAATGGCTGATGGAAGTATTGTACGAGTTCCCCCAAGCTCACCGAGAATTGGGATGTGGCAACCTTTGGAGAGATATGTTGTAAATCTCTGCGCTGAGGCGTTGAGTCCGATTTCCTCTAAAACTCAAGTGGAGGTATCGATCAGGGAGCTTCGCTTGTTTGCCAGGAAGGAAGCCGTCAATGAGATTCCAGGCTCCAGAAATGTACAGAATTGGGTGCCAATTGAGAGATCCAATACTGACTGTGGATAGACTGATCTCTATGCGCTCTTTCGAGCATTGTCTATTCCAAACATAGTGGTTCTTCTTGAGGTATGTGCTATCACCTTTGGGGGACCTTCTGCTGACGTTGAGTCGAGTTCGCTTTGGCCGAGTCTCGCATTATCCTCCTATCTTCTCATACTTCCATGCTTCATCTTGCATCCAAGGCCCTCGTCGAGCTTCTATATCCTCTGACTTGGTGTGGTATCTTCATTCCAGTGCTTCCAGCAAGACTTATCCAAGCTCTCGAAGCCCCTTGCCCTTACATTGTCGGTATTGAACGTGGGTATGAAAAAGTCGAGCTTCCAGAAGACGACTTCATACTCGTTGATCTAGACCAGGACGAGATCGAGTCGACTACAAGACCAACACCTATGCCAAAGCAACAGCGACGGAAATTGACGTCTTTGCTTCAGCTGGCCGCGCCACATCATAATAGATTTGGGGTTCCGAAAGGGCCACCGGCTTATGCGATCGAGGCTTTTCCGTTTGATAATTTCTCATCTGAGAATCCTCAAATCTTTACCGGCATGCCACAATCAACTTTCTTGGCAAAGTATGTTGGCCTTGACTCAACTTCGTTTGGAGACAGTGGTTCCAATCTCTCAGCGAAGTCTCTCGTCTTCAACGCTTTCCAACCCCCAAAGAGTGACAAGATAGAAAGTCAACGGCCATCGACGAGTTCTACAGCAAAAGGCAGTACGCCTCCTTCCCCAAAGCTTTCACCGACCTCGACCTCGTTCCCACCTCTACCACTCACACCAACCTCCCGGAGCGACTCTGGCTTTGCCATTCAAGCTAGCCTTCGCGGAAAACGATCCGGGCATTTCGAGACCGCTTCTAAAAGGAGCTCAACGTATGCTCCTGATCGAAACCCCATAATTAGACGGCCCAGCGTACCATTCAGTAACCACTCTTCGAGCCATTCGACAACAACTATAGGTACAGGAAATTACGCCATGTCAAGCTATGCCCCATCCATTTATGCTCAGTCCACACTGGCAGCCTCAACGGTAATGCCGAACATGCTGATGCAGCCCGTGCGGAACTCCGATGGTACCAATTGGGTTGAAGGTCACTGCTTCCAGTGGAGATATCATGACGACCGCTCTGTGTGCACCATCTGCGATGACAAGGCCGAGGATGGCATCTATAGATGTACTGGATGCGGCATCAACGCTCATGGTAGGTGTGCTCAGCAGGTCTGCATTGTTTGCCCTGCGGCTTTCCACCCAGAGCAAGTGCGCGCGGCCTTTGCACGATGCTTTGCAGCTCTGTTCTATACGTACAGGAAGTTCCTGTCGCCTCCAAATAAGGAGCAAAAGAAGGCTGGCTTGCTTTATGGCTTCAATATGACTGGGTTCTTGAAGAGTCTGCCCCATGAGAATGCTGAGTACATGCAGGTGTTGCAGCAGACGCAAGGTAAGTATCCGATCGTAGAGCGGATGTGTGTCTGCTAATATCTGCATAGGCTTCAACGAGTTCATTCACGAACGTGAATCGAAGCCAGCCAGTGACCCGTCGATCATGCTCTTTGATCAGATGATCCTTTCAAAGAGGAACCGGGGCCGGGCATCCATGTTTAGCAAATCGAAGACGGACTTTCTCTCTGACACATATGATCATCTTTGGAGAACAGCAGCCGCCACACCACCCAAAGGTCGAATTCCTGGGGATGTGAGAGCAATCATTACGAGAGGTAGGCCTCTCCTATCAAATACTGCTTTGGGTGTCAAGGTTCTCAAAGACTGCTCGCTAATCTTTTACCTTTCAGTCCCTGCGAAACTCGATCCTACTTTGATGAAAGAACCCCGTGTCCTCCAAGGTGTACCGCGAATAAATACCGTCAAGGCCACGAGAAAGCCGATACCAAGCATGTTAGGACCCAACGGGGCAATGAACGGGCTCGCACAGTCACCGCCATCATAGCACACAGTACACAGGGATGCTACATTTTGAATGATGATGAAATAATGTCCGAATTTGAAGGCGGCTCTTGGATGCATAGAGTCTATCGTTAGATTTCTCTTGGACAGAGAGCGATACTAATGGCATTCACTGAAGAGCGATGTACTCTTAATATGGAGCATTTGGAAAAGCGAGCTGTCGATTACACATCGAACAGGCCTGAGAAGCTAGATATCCTAGGTTAGGGACACAACTGAGATTTAAGGAGCACGATTTTAACCACAAGATCTGGGGGTTTCCGGCAATATCTCCGTACTTCAATCGTCGATATCCAGCGTTTTCATGGCCTTCAGGAACCACTCGATACTCTCTCCCTTCCACTCATATTTTTTTGCAAATTCTTTGGTCTCCGATGCAGATATCAATATTTCATCTTCAGATACCTTTGTCTTGTCCCCTTCGTCGCAACCTTCATCGCGCAGCTGCTCCAGCAAGAAGACCAAGAAAGCCCATCCCGAGATATCCCTCGGATGCATCAAGCACCACCCATGCACTAGCCCAATACTGTCATACAGCAATACCCTAACCCCGTGTCTTCTATCCTTATATCCAGGACGTTCAAACCGGATGGAAGTGAAGAGCTGTCTTGCATACTGCCAGGCGTAGTAATTACTCGGATGCCTCTCTCCAGCCTTCATCACAATTACCAATTCCTCGTCCCAGAAGCTTTTTATACCATTTCCCGTGATCATCACCTGATTCGCCTCGTCAGCTGCATGCTCTTGCAGATCTAACGGGAAGAAATTCTGCCCAGTCCACAGGCGTTGCGCCCAAAGCGTAGAAGATTTGGCATGTTTGCTCAACGGACTCGTGACCAGAATTTCCAGAAAGTTTAATTCATGTCGTACGGCTTCTGCCAAGTTTCCAAGATCCCGGTCATTGTAGTCGTTCTCGCTCCGTTTGCCGGAGACGCGCTGGATATGCCGCTTCCTGAAGTTGGCTGCCGTAAGGTGGTTGGGATCGAAGAGCAGTATTACGGCCGTCGCTTGCAGTGCTGCGTGATAGGAGTCGGAGTCCCGGGACGAGACATGATCGAAGAAGGTCTTGCGAGCTTTGAGGTAGAGTGGTACCAGGAGCGACTTTGGGACGCCGACGGCCGCGGACTCGTGCAAGAGTTGAGGCGGGAAGCTCGAGGGTAGGATCTCTACTTCCAGCACCACCGGGGGCGATGGATGGAGGGCGGCGATGAGCTGGGCGTAGACGTCGTCGTGGGGAGGAGACGGAGGTGATGGCATGGGGAAGAAGAGGAGACGAAAGGTGAAGCTAGCGATTTTGATAGGGCTGGGGGGGGGGTTAGGGTGGGATTATTTCGGTGTCTACCTTGCTCCAACAAGCTTCTCTTCAAAGCCCCATTGTCTGCTCTTGCAGAACCCCACAGAGAGAATCATGCCTTCTCTCCTCCTCCTTGTCTTCGTTTTGCAGCTCTTCATCCACCTCGTCAACACCGTTGGCGCGCCTGTCGTCAATGAATTCGTATAAGCCCCCTCCCCCCCATCGCGGCCTGCTCTTTGCTGACGGCATTTGTAGCTATGGAGCCTCTACAACCGACTTCCCACGTCTACCTCTGCTGATGCCAAGTCCCAAATCAAGCTCCAGAGGGAAGTGATACGCCTGAAGCGGGAGATGAATGCTACGAGTTCTCAGGATGAGTTTGCCAAATGGGCAAAGATACGGAGGAGCCATGACAAGATTCTGGCACAGTATGATGAGAAGAGTAAGACACCTAGGAACTATGAAAGAGAATCTGTAGTGCGAGTTTGAACAGCCTGGCTGATCGATACGTTTCCCCAGCTAACAACCTCAAATCCTTCAAATCGACCTTCGACCGCACTGTCAACGCTCTCCGCTGGGTCGGCACCAATGGCCTCCGCTTCTTCCTACAATTCTGGTTCTCCAAACGACCGCTCTTCTGGATACCAAGGAATTGGGTGCCGGGCTATGTGGAGTGGTTGCTTGCATTCCCTAGAGCACCGACGGGGAGTGTGAGTATACAGCTGTGGTGGATTGCTTGCGCGACTATAGTGCGGCTTGTTGGAGCCGCAGTGGTGGCAGCGCTGGTCTTGGTAAGGGAACAAGAGCAGGGAGGGCAGAAGATGAAGATCGGTGCAGGAGGCAGAGGTGGGAAGGGGGAAGGGAAGAAAGAGCTTTAGGCGTTGGAGGGTATTACGCTGTAAATGGCTTTGATTGGCAGCTTGAAGATATCCCGACGTTCGATTGTGGGAGACGGGAGGATGTTTCTCACGAATATTGACGCAGTGATCTTTCATGGCTTTCGCTCGACACTGCAACACGAAGTGAGATACCCCTTGGCAGAGGCTTTGGATTCGGTCTAGGCATTCTTTTTGACTCTGAGTGATCATGGTAGAGAAGATCGCTAAAGCTTCGAAAGTGCCCGTCATCAATGCACATAGAGTATTGTGGGCTCTGCTGGCACGCCATCCTTGAAAACGTGTTCCTTGCATTTGAACATCTCATTCTCCACAGACAGCAATCTTCCAGCTTGCAAACCAAAGGAAAGCGTATAGCTCAAAGGTGCATGCCACCATGGCCATAGCAATCGAGCAGGGCGGGAAAACCCCAATCGAGTTCGCAATCTGACTCTCAGAAACCCTTTTAGACCGCATACTTATTAGAGGACAGAGCCATCGCTGCTAGTGGACTTCGAGATTTGATGACCATGTTCGGATAAAACTCTCGGGATAGAAAGAATCAAGCGTGGGAGAAAATGTTTCAAGCGGCACAAGCGGTTGGCTCAATTTTGCGGCGGGAGGTTTAGCGTATTCGAAATCGTTGCGAATGCTTGGCATCAGACATTCCTATGCACCCATAGGTAGATTCAAATTATTGACTTCACAGCGATAATTTGAATTGTAGAATTTTCTAGACGTAAGTTAGACTCCTTATCGCGGCGACTTCAGCGCTGCTAAATTAAGTAAGATCTATAAGGAAACGATTTATTCATAGAGTTAAAGAAGAAAATAAAGTTATTTTCGAGCAGCAGTCGATTGTTCTTCTCTTTTCTTAATTTCTAGATACTTATAAATGAGTAGTTCGAAAACAAATCTTTTATGTTTAAGACTTCTATCTAATACTCTTGCGACTCTATTTCCGCCAAAAGTTCTTACATCCGACTTATGATTATGAAGTTAATTATTTGAATCCATGGGATGCGTAGGAATTTCTGATGCCAAGCATTCGCAACGATTTTGAATACGCTAAATCAGCGCATCGATGACCTGCAGCCGTTGTGGTTTTGCAGCCGACAGGAACGTGTCCCAACACCCCCCACAACATCTCACCATGTTCTCTCAATAACAAAGCTTTCATATACTCGCCATCACCATGGTATCCCTCTCCACGTTCGTATTTACTTTCTCCGAACTGCACTGGCCAATCGTCCTTGTACTGACATCCCAACAGCCTCAAAACCCTCCTCTTCACTGTGGGGCCCCTCCTCATTCCTAGGCTCATAACCTGGTATCGCACCCAAAAAGTCAAGGCAGTCACTGCCCCTGCCCCTGTGCAACCGGTACCTGGGCCAGTCTCCAAGTCCCTCACCATCCTCTTCCTCTCCGCCGTCCTCGCCCTCGTTTCCACCCTTCCCTATTTCGCTCCCGAGAATATCTTCACCACAACATCCTCGCGCTTGCAAACCTCCAACGATGTCCTCTTCACCCGCCTCAACCTCGCCCGCGGAGTCTCTGGGCTCACCGAGGCTGACAGCGTCCTACGGCCAAAGATCGCTTCCTTGGACGCACGGCTTCTCTACTTCACATACGGTCCCGATGTCTTGACGAACTGTCCTTTCTGCAACTCCGACCAGCCATCCACATACTTCTACTATGCTCTCCCCTCGATCGCCCTTCCTCACCTCCTCCACACCTTCGCCCTCGGTCTCGCGACTTCCTCGGCCATGTCTGGCGCTTACGGGAAGAGATGGCGTAACGTCGTGACGATTATAGGCATGGGACTCGCGGTGGTGGAGTGTTATCTCTTCGGTAGCTATGAGTGGAAAGCCAATGCGCGTGCTGTTCGACCGGAGCAGTACATCCATTTCTTCTGGCGGATGCGTGTGGTCCGTGGCATCATCATAGCTCTAGCAGACGTCCTCGTCGCCGGGCTCCTCTGGCTGTCTTCCACGAACCGCATGTTCGTAGTACCCCCGAGTGCGGCGGAGAGAATGGAGACGGCGATGCGGGTGCTGGAAAGTGCGAGGGCGAAGCTGCAGGCTGTGGGGATCATGAGGAACGTCGTCGTGAGGGATGAGGGGTTGAGAAGGAAGACGGAGGCATATTGGAGGAAAGAAGGGCAGGTGATGGGAGAGGTGATGGATGAGAGGGAGGTTGTGGAAGGGATGAGGAATGCGCTGAGTGGCAGGATTCAAGTGGCCAAGGTAGAAGAGGACGCGAGGAAATATGCGGAGGGCATCACGAGTTTTCAGGAGTTGCAGTTGCAGCAGCAGGTTGGATAGACACGGGACAAATCAACGCCTGGGCGCATTTTGAGCAGACAATACCGGAGAATTTAGAAATTTTGACACATGCAACGAAATGTACAGTGTTCTTGGAAGAGGAAGCGTATGAGATGATGAAGAATGCATCCGGCTTGAATAAAAATGCATGCTAATAGACGATAGCTCTCCCTTCCCCTCCGTCCCTGTTCCTCGCACCGTACTAAATCGAAAGGAAAATTGGTCATCGGCTTGTAACATTCGCACTCCCTCCTTTCCTCCACCCCTATTCACTTCGCTGCGCCAAGACGAGAAAGAAAAGGTCATCCGATTCATGATATTCGTGACCCCGGACCGGACCCTTGGGGGCGTCTCAGAAAGCCTGACCCTGCAGGGCGGGATGGAAGGCCAGATCCGGTCTCTGCACACCGTTCACGACCGGCGGCGCGCTCGAGTTTCTCTTGGCCTGGGCCGGCTGCGGGTTCCCCGCGATCGGCGCGGAGATGTTCCGGACGGGCTCCTGCTCGTGCGAGGAGTGGTCCTTGGTGTAGTACGATGGCAGTGTGTCGGAGCGGCCGAGGTGGAACGAGCGCCGGCCGTGCACCGACCTCGAGGGCGAGGGGCTGACGTAGACCTTCTGGGGGGCGACGGCGCCGTGGTCCCGGACCTGCCTCGCGGTGATGCCGAGGGATTTTTGGCGGAACATGTAGTTCTGTGTTTGACATTAGCCACTGCATTCGGTCCGTGGTGGGGCTTGCTGGTCATGACTTACGGCGAAGATGTTGGCCACACCGAGGATGCTGACGACGATACCCGAGGCGATGACTAGACGCCAGAAGGTCGCACCGAGGGAACCCTCGGAGGTGGCTTGTTTGTTCAGGTTGCCGAGGATAGAGACGCCGATGATGATCATGATTATGCCGAGGGTGACGAATCCGTGGCTTGGGGAGAGGAGCGGCCAGTTGTTGGCGGTGTAGCGCTTGAAGAGCGAGATTTCGGTGAGTATGAGGAGTACTGCTCACTCTCGTCAGCTGCTGGCCCTTGAGATGGAGGTCGGAATAGGAAGAGGTGAGGACTTACTGCTAACACAACCTGTGATTAGATGGCTGACTCCGTCGAAGAAGAAGAATTTGGAGACGATGAACGTCTTGACCAGCATGACGAAGCTGGCGGCGACGACGGCTAAAAGGGCGACTACGTTCATCACGCGGATGACGTTGAGGACGACGTAGCCTGGACCAGCCAGGGATCTCTTGAAGAAAGGCATAGCTGCGTGTTCTTGGATCGGTCTCGTAATTTGGAGATGGTCTGTTTGTAGCTTTCGAAGAGGGAAGAGAATTTGGACTGCACAGCAGTAGATTAAGACGATGTATCAGGGCAAGGATGTTTGAAGAAACGGAGTCGACACTTTCACGGAGGGAAAAGTAGTATTAGTAGAGATGGGTGACAAGAAGAGAACAATGACGAGTCCGCAGACAAGGCGCTGGCCGTTGAAGGACAATAGAAGAATGAACAGGTATGAATGAAGAGAAAAGAGAGTTGGAAGATGAATGGAAAAACGAAGAAATGGCTCTCAAAGACACGCTTGAACAATCGCGATTCACTGCCTTTCTATTCACAGCAACAAAGAACCCCACAGTACGTGAATCGGGAACCCAAACCATGGAGAGACTGGCCCAACCCCAGCGCCATATTGCATGGAAGCGCTGGGCTCAAGCCATCCTGCGACCATGAGGTATACCTGCGACATCTTAGAGATGCAGGTTGGTGAGGTCTCAATGAAAATCAGTGGCTGTCGTTGTCCCTTTCTTTTGGAGACGGAAGCGTTTCATGTCATTATGCTGGGCGGCTACGAGTACTCTACGCGTTGCCTTGAAACAGAGCGCGCTGTTCGAGTCATCGATGGTGAGGGTCAGTTTGGGCGACGAGGGTGCATCACATTCAGCACATGAGTATAAGCGTTTCTACTGGATGAGCTTAGTAGTATGGGTTAGAGCGATGGCTTCCCATGCAACAAAGGAGAGGTTTGACACTGGAGAACTCGAGAAAGATCGCCATCCGATAGCCTAATCCATTTCCGGCAAAGCGCAGCCCTAAGTCGAGAGATGCTCGTCCACTTGGAGGCACTCAGATCCACTACCCCTCGTACCTTAATTACATAGGTACATACTCGTGAGAATTAAAGCTATTCGAGTACCAGTTCATGCATGACGACCTACTTAAATCTAGCAATATATAGAGCTATCGTTGTTTCCGGCGCGATGGCCTTTCATCGCTGACGAGCCAAGAGCCAATCGCCGAACAAAGTAAAATGCCGAGCTATTTGGCCCAAAAAGCATACGGCCGGAAACAAGTTTCCAACGTCGTCTGAGTATAGTCATCATCCTATGCATTTGGACCAGACAAGTACGACACGTTCCACCACTGTCGCCGCAAGACCTGGAATCCCAGTACTCGCAGTTTTGGCAATAGCTCCTCATTCTCACACCTCAACGACGAGTTCCTCTGTCATACGAGCCATTTCATATGCCATTAAACCCTAGTCTAATCGTGACAATAAAACCGACCCTCGCGGTGGCACGAACCTTGTTGTCTTTTTTGATTTGTCATTGGCATTCTCAAATTCATATTCGGGCAAAGTCTTGTCCGGTGACTTGGATGACGACTTCAACGTTTTGTATGATAGCCATGGCTGAACAGCAAGAAGTGAATGAGAAGGAATGGAGGGATGGAGGGATGGAGGGATGGAGGAGGGAAGGAAAGAAGGAAAGAAGGAAGAAAATGACGGGCATTGATGCACCTTGCTATCGGACTTCTGTCGCTTGCTATACCCGTTAACTGGAAGGAATCATCTCGTCAAGAGAAATGTCTGCAATAAACGAAGAGGGATGTTCCAAGGCGTAGTTCCCTAGTCACCCTTAGTAGGACGTTCCCAGATACCACTCGGTCACGACGAGAAGGCGAGGCTCTACGTCATAGAAGTAGAATGTGGACACTCTGTTATACTGGACGGCTTGCCGAGGTTGTTGCTCGCATTTGATGCTTGCGCAGTCAGTTTCCTTGTGCAACTCGCCCTCGACATTTACCCCTGAAGGCATGTCGGGCGTAGACGGCGAAGACTAGTAGGTTGGGGGAATCTGCAAGGTCGTGCCCCGACCTGAGAGAAACAGATCGGGGTTTCCTTCGGACTCTGGACGTCGTTAATGTTTGTAGCAGATCTTGCGGCGGCTATTCATACTCTCTTCCTTGGGGGGCCTCTCCTGGCTTCTGGATCAGCTTCTGGACCTAGAGTTGGCGAGCCGGCATGGCTCAAGCCAATGGAGTCTGAAGGAATCGGTTGGGAAGGAAAGCCAAGTTTGTTCATGCTGATAATTGTCCGACGCGGAAACAGGCATGTCGGCAGATATTGCCGCCGAGTCACTAGCGTGAAACCCCTGCTCGAAGTGTCCCTAATGCTTCAACCTCGTCTTTGTCTTTGTCCCAAATATCGACTATTCTTGAATATGCGGTCAGAGAGGACTGCAAGAAGGACTCGAGGACCAAGAAAGGACTCAGAGCCCTGAAAGTCGTGCGACAGTGCGGACTCTACCATTCTACAAGCATTGCCAAGGCCCTTTCACAACAAGATCTCAATGCGGTATCACACGTGTTGCTCCGCTATCCTGCTTCGCAAAGCCTGCTTTTCTGATTATTGGTGCAGCGTTATTGCCTGCTTCCTTTTTTCGGATGCGGCCTTGTTGAGCGCCGGCAGTCAGATTTCAAAGTCCTTTCCACCCGCTTTTTTTTTCCTGCTTCCTTGTCCAATCCTTTCTTCACCGCTCTCTTCTTTGGAATGCTCCTTACGCTTATGGAGTGGCAGCCCGGCAATGACGATGTTATGGTGATGCTGCTCAGCCTATGACTTGCATTGTCTTCCACGATAGCCGTTGATGTAAGCAGAGTCCTCAAAACTTTGATCGACTTGGGTACAGGTGTCGAGGAAGTATTGCAGAATACGAAGTTGCCAATCTGACTTAGCGCACACGAAGGCCATTCTGTTGAAGGCTTGTCTAGTTAGACGTGACAATGTTGCTCCGGCCGAAGAACAATTTGCCTTTATTTCGTGTAACCTCGCTGCCGCCCAGTTGTTGGCGCCACGAAAGAGGGGCAGAGGTCCAAAGCCATAGGTGGTATTTATTTGGTTGAGCTTGGGAATGATGAACGATGGCTTTGGTATAGGTTGAGGATTGCCGCTGATAGTGTCGAACTGTTGCTCATGTACGACCCTCACTGTTCGATTGCAAATATCATCCTCCATCACACACAATGCCTTCAAACTGTGTTATGCGCTCCATCTGTTTGATCATTCGTTTATACTTCTGACGGGTAGTTGTCCTTTCCCCAATCGAAGAGACACTGCAGGCTATTATCGAGGTCGAGAACTGACCGGGCAACCCCTCGAACCTCAGTCGCCTGTAGTCTCGAGGATTATCGACATGCAGAGAAGAAATTGAAGCATTGACCTCTTGTGCACGGGTCCAGCAATGTCATCTCATATTCATTGCAAGCCCACCCTGTATCTACAGCAAAGAGCGGACTTTCTCTCTTCCTACCAGCCTCAAATCATGAGTTACGACACAGTTCAACATGTCAACGACTCTTATACATTCAGAGTCGCCCCTGACATATATCTCTCGGTGGAGTCTTACTTACCCTGCAATTACACTCCCAGTCACAAAATCTCGCCCAGCCCTCGACCTCGTCAAGCTGCGGTCATCTTTCTCCACGACTTTGGGGGCTCCTCGTACACATTCAAGCGTATTATAGAGGGTTGCCGATGTCACTGCATCACCGTGGATTTCCGAGGCTGTGGCGAATCATCCCGTGCTCATGTAAGCAGGTTGTATTCCGTGGAACGAATGGCCGAAGATGTTGAGAAGATTCTCCCGGCGCTGGAAAATGTCACAGATTTCATACGTACGTTATGGTTCCTGAGGCAACTCTTCCCCGTTCATGCTGTCTCATGAGTCGTCAGGCATGTCTAAAGAGTTCTCCGCCCCTAAGACATGTCTCGCGACGTAGAATACCTCCCGAAAGAGTAATGCTGACTCCGAGATCATCAAGTCGCAGGCCATGGTATGGGTGCGAAGATTGCCCAAATCGTTGCCAGTGGTGAGCCTAAAGGTCTGATAGGCCTGGCTCTTATCAACCCTGTCCCAGCATCACCCTGGATCTTGTCCAGCCCGAAGATGGAAAGGCTATATGGATCCTGCGAAGCCAAGACTGAAGCCCTTGACTTTGCGAATGGTGTCCTCAGTGCCCATCCGGGTTCACTCACGGTGTCCGACCTGGACAAAATCAGTGCCCACGCAATAAAACAAGATACTGCATTAACGATAGCCTGGCTGAGAGAAGGCTCTGAAGGAAAAGAGGGCGACTGGTCGGGGGCAGTCGACAAGATCAAAGTGCCCGCAATGGCAATTGCTGGAAAATCCGACAGATTGATAAGCGTACAAACCATCAAGGACGAGGTGTATGGCAAGATCTACGGGTGTATCATGGTGGAAGTTGAAGACGCTGGACATCTGTTGCCGCTAGAGAGACCGAAGAAGCTGCTCGAGGAGCTTCAGGCTTTTGTCGATGCATGTGTTGACGTACGCAAAAATGATGGTTTGAGGTCAGGGTCACTCCTCTACCAGGGCTTCTGTGTGGCAAGAGAGTCAAATTACAATAATTTCATGAGGACGCAAGGGTTAGAATCACGGTAGAAATATTCTCGTGAAGGGGGTTTTTCATGGAGATGTCGTTGACTTGCAGCTGCTAGAGTGCAAACACACTACGAAAAGAAACCATGTATTTTCCAGATATGGCGAGGATCAAGGAATCTTTTCAGAAGATCAGATCTTGGAAAGTGACTTGAATTTCGGATGACGTGGAGTTCTATTGCCAATGATAATGAGTTGCCAGTCAGACATCAGGAGAAAGGCAGGAACGCTGCTGGCTCTTTGTACAAATTGTCGACAGCCTTGAAGATGACATGGCTTTCAGATGTTAAGAGACTTACTGAGGAAGCTTGCGAGTGAGACAAGTCCACCTGAATATGCAGGACCGAAGCAATTTGAAAGCAAGGTATTAACGCTTCGTGATTTCCGTTGTACCGTAATATTGAGCGCTAGCGAGCTCAAATCCGAGATCTCCACCGGGGTTCGCGCCCAAACGCCAAAATAGATTACATAGAATACGTACCCGCAGCAACCAGGATTTGGGCCAAACGACACAATTTGGTACGCAGGCGCTGATGGGCTGACGATGAAGCCATAGAAAGCCAGCTTCTGCTCATTGTGAAATATGGCGTCTCTCCGCCCGCCTCTCTATAGACAGTTCTTGACACCGGCCCTGCACAGAAGATTTACAAGTGCTGCTCTCATCACTCTCGTGGTCTGCTACGCCGAGGCTGTACTGATCGCAGACAAGTCTTCAAGTAAGTTAGATCCATGAGTGAGAAGCCGCTTGACCATCTGATGTAGTGGCAGTATTCTGGTTCTGGTTCCCAATTGGCCCAGCAGGCATACGAACACTCCTCCTCTTCGTATCGGCACTCTCTATCTTCGTACTACGTGTGGCTCAACTGCATTTGGGTATGGCCGAGAAAATGTCTAGACAAGATTCGAGTACTGAAAATACATCAGGGTCTCGGACAACAGCATCACCCTTTGAGACCTTCACACGGTATCTGTTCCGCTTGAACACTGTCCAGACATTGGCATGGTACCTTTTCTCGGCATGGTGGTTCAGTGAGGTCTACATGTGGTCGGTACCAGAGTCGGCGAATCTAGGCTGGGTAGCTGCAGGAAAGTGAGCGAGGTTCTGCCCTGGTGGTGCTGCTGTGGCTAATGGATAGCAGACCATGGGAACGCAAACGACTCAATGAGCGACCAATATACCTCCGGAGCGTCTTTTTTATGCTTGCAGTCCTTCAATCTGGCTTGCACCTCTACTATAACTACGACAGCGTTGCCTTGCCAGTCATGCAGGCAAAGACAGACGCCAGTTCTGGACAACCTCCAAAGCAGGAGCATCCAGTTCTCCAGCTGAAGGTTCTGCTACCAAGCCTATCACGAGAGATAGGAACCCGCGCAACAGGCATGGCCATCTTGGGACCCGTAGTCTATGCTCTCTTCATTCGACGGGCGGCGTGGAGCTGCTCTCTGTACTTCGCTGCATTGCTGTGGGATGTGCCTGCCTCACAGCTATCGTACATACCACCGTACCACTACTCCCTTATCCTTCGCTCCTTGACGTCCGGCGCCCTCTTGATCACAACATGGGAGTTCTCAAATGCGATCTTCAGTGCCTATCTTACGTTGGAGCCAATGAAGCGAGAGCAGCCCTTGACAGGTGAATCCAAAGATCCCAACGCAAGCTTACTGAACGGGCTCAAGGCAAAACGGGAGGTCATCAGGGTGAGCAGCATAGCCACTTTCGAGTCTGTAAAGCGCTAATACTGCTTAGACCTTTGCGTTTTGCGAGCTTGCACTCATCAGCCAGCGCTTCGCAGCACGGCGCAAAGCTATCTTCGCAGATATAGACCGCCCAACCGGTTCAGCATGGACTCAGATCATGACTCTCTGCGTGGGCAACATTCTCGCCATCAGCAATCGCATCGCTGAATTCCAAAATCCAACCACCAAATCCGTAGCACCTCCGCAGCGAATTACCATCGAATCCCTGCCTTCAATCTCGTCGGCGCCCCTTAGGAAAGAAAACATCTTCAGCAACGCCCGAACTCCCGCGACTACACGCGAAAAGATCGAGTCAAGTTTCGGCACCATCGCCAAGTCGTACGGGCAATCACCACAGCCTGCGAAGCCTCTGAAATTTTTAGAAAGCCAACGCGCAGAAGGAGAGAAATATCTAGGTGTTGCACGTCAAAAACTCCTTACCCAAGGCCAACAGGAGAGCTTGAGCAGCAGCGGTCTGCTTGCTCAGTACAACGCCTACCTCATTCGCTTCTTGCGCACTCCGTTTGGCCGTCTCTTCCGACGGACATTCAAGCGTCGTGTCTCTACTGTGGTGCTGGGATCGCCGTTTGGCGAGCTTAATCCCATTATTGATTCTGTCAATGCGCTGACTGCTCTAGCTCTTGCAAGCTTGGCAGAGGATAACTATGGCAAGGTAGCCAAAGATGTCCCACTGCTAATTCAAGCATTTGTCAGTGTCATACAGTCTGTAGAGGGTTTTGTGAGAGATTTGCCTGTTCATTGGACTGATGTAGAGTTTTCCGAATCGGACAGAAGAGCAGAGGAAGTGGACTTGGTGGTTGGGACCTTGAAGGCAGGATTGAAGGAGATGGTGGATGCTTTTGGGAAGTATGCCGCCGAGCTTGGTTTGACGGAAAGGGATATGAAAGCAGCAAGGCGAGTCGCTGGGGTCGAGGGGGATGAGTGACGTTACGACGTCACGACGTCACGACGTTACTGGAGTAGATGATAGACGATTGATACCCAATAAAAAGCCATGCCTTTCATCCAGTCGAACGCCACTGCTTTCTAGAAATCAACAAATATTGGGGACAGCAAACAAAAATAAAAGACCAAAAGTTGTAGAAATCTATCAAACGGTGCTCAAGCAAAGGATAAAGCGGGAGCAACACTGGCGCCGCAATGCGACTTCGACCAGCCAAAGCTCGACCTTCCACGGCCTTCCATAACCGGATCCCTACCCGGAGGAGCCGCCAGAACGCATCGGCCCCCCTCCGCTCCGGCTTCGTGGAGACTGGAGATCGGAAGTTCCGACACAAGACTCTGGTCTAGACGTGCCGGTGATTGGCGGAATAGCGGACATGGTCCACTCGGGGCATTTTACGCTCCTGCGGACGGCCGTTTCGCAAGGGTTGGGAGGGAGCGACGCTCGGTTGGTTGGGCGAAGGTGGGGGATGGGGATGAGGAGGATGGGGATGAGGAGGGAGAGGGTGATGGAGAGGGTGATGGTTGACCGTGCCCGCAGGGTGCAGTGTGTGTTTTCTGAGCCGTCCGTCGGTCCTACGGTTCAAGCAGACGACATGATCACGAGCACCGGTTTTGCAATGCGTATTCTAGTTCATACTTCAGACCTTATCTAATCTCGGGCAATGTATGTAACAGGGTGTCATTTGGGTATACAGTGAAAAAAGGCTTTCACGGATATGGAAGAGAATAAAACGCCTCTCGTAAACCGTGGTGAGCATTAAGGAATATGGGGGGTATCAAGTCGACGGAGCCCATGGCGTGGTCGTTCAATGTCGCAGGAGCACCTTGCCTTTTGAGAATCGAAGATGAAGTTGAAAGCCGGACGGAAAGTAGATGACGAACAATACGCAAGTTCCACTGTAATGCGACGAGCCCTACGACCCTTGGCCTTACGAGGACGCATCAACAGCCCTATCAGACCACTGATTCGAGCCCTACCCGAAGCTCCAGACGCGCCTGCGTCAACGTCAACCGTACTCTGTGATGAGTCGAATTGATGGAGAGGCGAAGTGTCCGTCGAAACCACCGAAGCCAATACATTGAGTGCAGAGGGACGAGCTCTACATCTCCTGAGGCATCTCATCGATCCGCTCACTGCGCATCTGGCCTCCTTGCATGCCCATCCCACGCGCAGGAGCTGCTCCCATGGTCCCCATGTTTGGCATCGGGCCCATGTTGCCCATTTGTTGCATGCCGATGTTCGGGTCTATGTTGCTCATGTCGAGCGGTTCATATTTTGGCTGGACCATATTCTGGCCCATGCCGCCTTGGCCCATCTCACCCTGTCCCATGCCATCTTGTCCCATGTTTACTTGCCCCATATTGGCTTGACCCATCGGTCCTTGTCCCATGTTTGCTTGGCCCATGTTCTGACCCATATCCTGGCCCATGTTTCCTTGGCCCATATTTCCTGGGCCCATGTTGGTCGGGCCCATACCCATATTTGCGACAGGAGCTCCCTGCGACTGCGGTGCATTGTTGTCCTGGGGGGTAGGGGGGGGCTCATCCCTCATGCAAGCCGTCTCCAGCATATTCGTCCATTTTCCACTTGTGCCAGCATGACTATGCTTCAGATGCTGGCGGAAATGGTCGGCACGAAAGAATTTCTTGGATTGGTTGCATTCGCCGAACTTATGTACACCGTTGAGATGCGCACCACGTGCTTCCCAGTCAGGTGCTGGCTCATTGGGAAACTGTTGCCCACAGTAGCCGCAAGTATCGAATGGAGTGAGAGAGGTGGGTGGGGGTGGAGGCTGAGACGGGGAAGAACTGTTGTCGGCTGGTGGTATATTAGTGGAAGGGTAGAATGCGCTATCGAAACTGTTGTTGAGGGTGGCACAAGACCAGGAGTGTTTCCGGAGGTGAAGAGAATTCTGGTGACGCTCGGCTTCGTTTTTATTCTTGAACCGATTGGGGCAGTACATGCATGAGTACTGCTTTTCAGATTCGTGTACCCTGAAGTGAGGGCAATGATCAGCCACCTGCAGGGGGTTTCGGGGGGGGGGGTCGCGACAGCTTACCTCAATTCTTCCAGTGTGTCGAACTTTTTCGGCTTCTTAGGACAGCATCCACATATGAAAGACGGCGGCTGCATGTTGGGCGGCGCGTTGTTCTTTCGTTGATTTTGAGGATTCTGTGGTTTCTGGTCGACAGGTGGAGTCGGATGAGTTTCGAGAGGAGCTTGTGAATACTGTTGCTGGGGCCGAGTGTCGCGAGTGTTTCGAGGAGCTTGATTCATTGGAAGCGAGGTAACGTAGGGTGAATCTTGACCGCTGTGTTGTTGGTAGAGGAGCTGTTGCTGTTGCTGTTGCTGTTGCTGATCGGAGGAAGGTGAAATGCCAGGTGAGTGTTGGTCGAGGGTTGTGATACTGCTCGCGACCGATAATCCTGCAGAGGACGCGTATGAGTTGTTGCGAGGACCCGTTGACGATTGTGATGAGAAGGAACCTTGATTTTGTGCAAATTGCCGTCCTAGCGGAGACACCCGATGGCTGGGATGTTGTGGTGTTGAGGTGTTGCGCTGATGAAGGTCCGTGTTATTTCCCCCCACGGCAGCGAATGAAGCATTAGCCTCATGCGCAGGGTCCGGAGGCGGGGACTGAGAAGGCTTGCGCTTCATGCCTGGACGTGAACGCGACGTATGGAGTGATGGATTTGAATGTTTGTAGTAGTATGATAGAGAGTCAGGATTGCTACTAATAAGTGGTGGACGGTCTTCAAGGCGGAGTTTGCGAACTGAATCTTCCATGGGAAAAGTAGGATCTGCCGAGTCTGGTTCGAAAAAATTAGGCTGGTCATAGCTTTCGCGTTTTAACGGGCTAGGACGTTCGCTAACGGTACTAGCGGTATAATTCATAGAGTTTCCTGCTGACTCATCGTAACTTGAGAGCAGCGAGCCACTCGTTGAACGGCGAGACTTTTGCTGTCGCAGTACATTGGTCGAAGAAGGAAATCGCTGTGGGTAGTATGGCTGCTGATCAGAGTCGTGCGCCGACGATGGCGGGCTTCGCCAGTCCATGGAGCTATGTGCGCTGGTGGTGGACAGATTCAGACCTGGAGAGACCGGTCTTGATCGAGGACTATCGCCGTATCCACTCGAAGGTTCTTTCTTGATCGGAGGATCCGAGTATGCACTGTTCGAGTATGAAGAGTGTGGAAAGGACAAAGATCGAAGCTGATTTGGATGCCTTCCACTTTGTTGTTGTTGTTGTTGTTGATGGAATGAAAGATTCGAAGTTGGTGAACTTTCGATACTGCCCAGTGATGCGTTACGAGGCGGTGTCTTCGGCTTGCCAATCTTGGATAGCAATTTGTTGTCATACGCTTGGGATGAGTTTTCAAAGTTCTTTTGTTGTAGTTGTCTTTCCCCATGCAATCTGAGATCGTGTACCTATTAGCTAATGCGAATCCGGGCACAAGACGCTGAAGGCCAGGTAAACTGAGGGCAGTGCAAGCCGTGGACGAGTGAAAGTACACCCTCCAGTGACGGGCCGCTTGCCTTTCGTGATGGCACGATGGCTTGCAAAGAAAACCGAAAATGAACATGTATATACTGACTGCTGGCTCATGGCACTGGGTCTCGGTCCCGAGAGACTATAGTATCCTTCATCCTGATGTCTTGCAAAATCGAATCCCCTGCTCGTTTCTGCCGGCGACCTGACGGTTGAAGTCGAGCTTTCTCGTCGCCTAAATTCTGGCGGGTCCAATGGCCTATCTTCCTCCATATTTTTACCCCAACTCTTCGGAAAATTCGAGATTGGCCTGAGAGACTCTCTCGCCTTTCCAAAATTCCCCCCCTTAGGATCGTTTCCCCAAGCCCATCCTGGATCACTGCCAGCAGTGATATCGGTATTTCTCGGAGGAGGAAGTGGAGGTGGAGCAAGGTCGAATCTCGCATTAGGTATTGCCAGTGGGACAGGGGCTCGTGAAAACGGCATCGCTCCAGACCGACTGGTTGACCGCCTCCGTCCATGGTGGGCATTATGATCATGTACTCGAATTGAAGGAGGCGACGTAACACGCGTAAAATCCATAAAGGGCGTTAATTGCCACGCTGAAAGAACAATGCTATCGTAAACGGTCGTAAGGCGCTTCAGGTCTATGGGCGATTAAGTGTGGCTCCGATATTGGTGGCAATGGCAAGCGTCGAGTGGAATGGGTACAAGTGAATGGCACAAAAAAAAAGGTTTATCCAACCAGATCGCGCGGCAACACCGACCAAGTGCAAACTATGCAGGATAAAAACTTCAAGGACAACTGACGGCCAGTGAGAATGGCAGAAGACGTAGGAGATGGAGGTTGGGAGGACTCTGGCATAAGTTGCCTTCCTTGACCTCTTGTTCCAGCAAATGCTAGCACATGTTGTTTGGTAAAGCTCTGTGCCAGAGCCGAAACCTTGGGCAAGGAAGCGGGGTGGGACATCGGTCAAATAATAAGTTTTTTGGGTCTTTCGGGGTATGTCAGCCGTAGGGCTACCTAGAGTACCTTTCAGCTTGACTTCCTGCCCTAAGGTAGAGGGCTCGGAGGGGTCGCTTGCTTTTGTTCTTAGACCAAGAACTTTTTCCCACCTTGAGGATCGGGGTGTGCGCGACTTAGCGGTACCCTATGACCCCTAAATCCTCAAGCTTTGGATGTACCTAAAAAGCTCTTCAGCAAGGGGAATCCTGGTCAAACGCTATCACGGAAAGGGTCCAGGTAAAGATGAGAATGTGGGTAACGGATCGTCTCTGGGCGGAAGCCGCCTTGCGCAGCCCTACAAGGTGGCAGCTAAAGGATTGCTGCATGCTACCAAAACTTCATAATGCATACCACATGCAGAAGAGGGGACCGTTGTCAGTAATGTCTGAATCATAGATCTGCATTTCTGGGGCCTAGGTAGCATTCGGTATTAGAACTCTGCCTTAGATAAAAGAGGGACTCTTTGCCTCGTGTGATCTACATAATACAGAGCACGGACATGACAATATACGGTGAAGCATGAAGGATCTGGTGAAGCTGTGTGTGAGAAAAAGACGACTGGTGCTATTATCGCGGTACCATTCCTACGCTAGAAGAGAACAAGTGCGCTTGTATGCACGAATGGCACGGTCAGAAGCCAGGGGGGGTTGAGAGGGAAGCCTTGCTTCTTCCAGAAAAAGCGCTGACATCAGCCTATATCTTCTCCTGCAATCTGCATAGATGATATCTCGGTCAGCCTCTCGTAACATTGCCCTACCTTAGCGATGCCCCGAAGACTACCCGGAGGCACAGTCGTTCTAGGGTCTTAAGATCAGAGTTCTTCGAGCGGAGGGTGGGTCCTTGGTAGTATCCCGCACATATGCATAAGCATGCCCTAGCGGTTTTTCTTCAAAAGGCCTCGATCCTTAGGCTAGAGCGTAGGGAGCTGCAGTATTATCCTTTCGTACTCAATTGCTCTACGTTATCCAACCCCTCAATGAACATCAGGGATCGGTGAAGGATAGTCATAAAGACCCCGGTCGCCTACCAACGTTGCACAGTTTGGAAACCAGGTTTCGAAGTATGCCGACGATGGAAGGTGACGACATTGGAAATCTCGTTCCCTTTGATTGCATTTCGAACAAAGCCAAGCACAAAGGGAGACAACGACACGAGCGAAATAAGTGAAGTATTGGGAGTTGTGAGAGATGTAGTGTGTTTGGGAGGTTTTCGGTCCATTGACTGTTTGTAGAAGGTGACTAGTGCGGTAGAGGAGCCCCGAAGGATCCTTTGGGACGAGTCGACGTTTCTTCTAGATAGGAACAATACGAGAAACCCCCCAGGAAGCGATGAGAGCTGCCAGTCACGAACCTTGCGACATCTATACAAACCAAGACTTTAAAGTGACTACCGAAAAGCAGATACGATGTCTCTGTGGCAGGCGTAACACGATTCTTGGTCTTTTTTTCACTCTGTCCTGTCAACGATGCATGATGTGGTGTAACCCACCAGGATCCACTAGGATCATGATGTGCTGGTTCATGCGAGCCAAATGACGGGGAAGGAAGTAATGATGCAGGATGTTGAGGTCCATTGACCAATCAATCCGACCGATCTACAAGTCGAGAAGCCTGCCGAAGTCGTCACCGGGGGAGTGGAAGGGCCCTGATTATTGTGCCTTGCCATTCAAGACATGGGATATTATCGTGTTATTGTCCCGGACTACTCGTAAAGTGAGACTGCGAGCGGAGATGAAAATCCCAAAAGATTTGTGCGAACCAACATTCGATTAAAAATAATTGAATGGTTGGCGGTAATCCCGCATTGCCACCAGCCCTACTGGTGGTATCAGACGGCAAGGCTCAATTCACCAATTGGACCTCCCTCTAGACGCGGGAATCACGGTGAGACACGTTGGCCACGTTTCATGCCCCCCGTAAGGCGCTGCCCTGGCCTTACTTGGTCTGAATCATTGGTGCTCAAAACCCCTCAAATGCTTGACAGCACCTGACAACCAGCAAATGCCACATGGGACTACCGGTAAATATTATGATTGTGTATACGTACAGGAGCGGGGTCAAAAGGATCAAGTAGTGACAAGTGAATGAAGCCCGCCACCGTAGGTAGAGTGGTGGGAGATGCATGAGGTGAAGATAGCTGAAAGAAATGCTAGTGGCAACCTTGGGCAGAAGGGCAGAAGAGAGATAATGCGTTAAAATGAAAAGTAGTCTTATTGGAGTAACTGGGGGTACCTTAGGTATGAAATGTTGACGATCCCTGAGCCAGGTGGCCAAGAAGCATGAATCAAGCCTTTACTCTCCGTAGTATTCTCAAAATTGAAAATTTCCCATGCACCAACAATCGACTACAGTACTCTAAAAGTGAACCCAACATCTCTCATTCGCCTTCTCACCCAAAGCCTGCATTATTATCTATGTCCTTGGACCGGATCCCGGGAGACGCACATCTCTACATAGGGGGGTGAATATATACTCTGCACAATGTACAAGAGGCGACCCGAATCCCGAGCTAACGCCCCGACAACAGAATATTCTCCTTACGGCGCAAAGAGGCCTTGAACAAGGCCAACATCACACATGTCCTATCAGTGCTGAGGTTGCCTCTCGATGATCATCTCTTCGTGAATTTCAACCACCATGTCGTCGAGGTCGACGACGTGGAAGACGAGAACATCATTGAGCATTTCCCCACCAGCAATGCCTTCATCCAGCAAGGCCTCGACGCCGGAGGAGGTGTACTGGTTCATTGGTAGGTCAGATAGCTCCTCCGCATCGTGATATCTCGCGAGCGACGCAAGAGCCGAAAGAATATTTTTCATCTCGTACTGTATAACCATTACGCCACATACGTGCGTTGGCCTTTCCGGCCATTCCGATGTCTCTCTTTCCACAAACGCTGCCGACTCCGAAGTCCATGTCCATGGTCTCAAAAAGGTCCTGTCGCCGTCCTCCGATCATCTACGGGGAGCCCCACATGTAGCGCTTTACCGAGGCACGTATGGACGATGTGTGAATGGGTCAAAGGACTGTTGGAAATCGGCGATGAAGATGCCCAGCGCCACCGCTTGACAATGTTTTTGGGGAGTATCTCTACTACCATTATTTGCATTGGGTGGAAAGAGGAATTCGATGCTGTCTTGCGTTTTCATACGTTCTGCGGAGCGTCGCTCTCCCATTGAAAATGCAGTAGTCACACATTCAGATGCTTGAGCATTTTTATGTTATCATGCCTTTCCATCCGGCATGAGCTGTTCTAACTTTACGTTCTCTACGCTTCTTTCTCACTGGTTCTGCTTCTCCCACCTTCCCCTGTCTTCCCGAAGCGAGTGTACCAATCCACTATGATCATCACTGACATGTTCCACCCGCAGCGCAATGGGCAAATCCCGCTCGACAGCCCTTCTAATCGCGTATTTGCTCTCGCAGAACCCCCAACTTAATCCTCAATCCGCCCTTGACCTCATACGGCAATCCCGAGACTTCGCAGAACCAAATTCCGGCTTCATGGAACAGCTCTCTCTCTACCACAACATGGGATGTCCTGCCACCCAAGAAGCGCTCGACAACCACCCTCTTTACCAGCGCTGGCTGTACCAGAGGACTGTGGAAGCAAGTGTGGCCGCTGGCGTTGCACCTGAAGTCAGCGAGCTCCGTTTTGGTGATGAGGGAAACGCAATGCCGATGAATTTGGCCGCTGAAGAAGGCCCTGCCAACCTAAAATCGAGTGGATATCCTTCAGAGCCAACAACATCGTATCGCTGCAGGCGCTGCCGTACTCCGCTCGCCACATCCGTCTATCTTGTCCCCCATAACCCCAAACGACCGGCTACCTCTCAACCGTGCGCCCATCTTCATCTCACTCCCCTCTCATGGATGCGGCCGGAGCTCGAGCAAGGGAAGCTGGAAGGGAGACTGGAGTGTCCGAATCAGAAATGCGGACAGAGTGTGGGGAGGTATGCGTGGCAGGGGATGAAGTGTAGTTGTGGGGAGTGGGTGGTGCCGGGGATGACGCTGGGGAGAGGGAGGATCGATGAGGTTAGGGAGAGGCCTAGGGCTGGAATAGGAGGAGGGAAGATTTAGGTGATTGTCATGGTCCAGTTGTTGTAGATAGTTTGACTGGATGTGCGTTGACTAGAGTTCGTTAGGTAAAGTGGTAGATGAATGTTTTGAAATCCATGGTCTTTTTCTCAGACTCAACATCGAACGTTCGCGGCGCCCTTCTGCATAGTCCTCCAATAATTCGGCGAACAACCTCATTGCCCAAGTCGCTAAAAGATGGTTCCCAGGCAGAATTACCAAGCGTATTTACTCGAATTCCAGTGCAAGGCAAGACAATTCTGTCTCGCCAGAGGTTGACCGCTTCTGAAACGCCGAGTATCCGAACGGGGTTTCATTAGAGGCCATTGGCTTCATGTACAATGGTTCAGCACAGCTAGATACGGCTGCACTGAGCAAGTGCTCAACGTGTACATGCTCCAGCGGGACTTCGGAAAACCGCTTCTGAGTAGACTAGTGCTTACGGGAGTATCGGTCCATGTGAGGTGATCTCGATCAATGTGGGCATGACCAGGATTCTCCGTATGGAAACCAGGTCTCGCACTGGCCAAGTGGCCGGATAATTGACGGGTGACCATGCAAGTAGGGCAGCATTTGAGCCTCTGGCGTTCCAATGACGCTTCGGCGGCGTCCAGAGCCTCGGAAAAGGGGGGGGGGGAAAAAGGAGGTACGAGTGACGTAAAGCCTCAGTGTCTGGCTAGTTGCCGTGGTGGAAGCCAAGCACGGCACAAGAGAAAGCTGGAGCGGTAGTTCGTGGCCTTGCGCCCACTCGAGCTGTCCGAGAATCACCGAAAGGGTCCAGATGCGGACGGTATGAAGCTGATCCGGCTATGCTCGCAATATCGATAATTGGACCCACTCTGCCAAACTCGAAAAGAGCCGCCAATCATTCTCGTCGCTGTCAGGCTCAATGCCTTGTGCTGAGACGAGCTTAAGTCTCAAGTGGATCAGTGAGCCTCAAAAGTTATCGTGCATGTACCCCTGAACTAAGTTGGGGCCAAACGCTGAGGAGGCCGTTGCGGCGCCTCAATAGTACCTCACGGCAGCGGAGTAAGGCCGCCACTTGGTACCCTGGATGTAGGTTGCATCGTTGGCTGTTGATGAAGAAGAGCGTGTTCCACGATTCTAAAAATTCTGTGGGGTCGGTGCTGCACGATGACGATAATGACCACAACAGACTCACCGCTATTCGTAGCGTCTCATAAACCGAGGGACAGGCTGCCGCCGCGGTCGTCGAAAGAGAAGATGTATACAAAAGGAGGCAACCCAAATTCGCAATCCGATTGGTCGGCGGGTGGCGAAATATCCGAATTTTTCGCCCACCGTCTTCTTAGCCGCATGATATATGGGCCGATGAAATGTTAGTCATTAGTACAGAGATGTTCAACGAGCTGCAATATAACTCCAGCAGAGCCGTTCGAAGCACGAAATAAAGTTGTCCTGGACCTGGTTTAGCTGGTGAGCAGGGCCGTGGCTGGCTATTGAGTAATTCGAATCACGTCAATAATTGACTCATGTCAGTTGGCTGCTATTGGTTGCGATTGGGCCCTTGGCTCTTATCAACGCATTGAGATATCATTCGCTTTAGCAAACTCAGACTAATGGAACGGGAAGAGGCAGTTCTCCTGGGCTCTTGACCGCTTCACTACACCGGCTGGTACGACAATCTCCTTTAGACTCCTTGATAGCTTCCAGAGTGGGCCAGACGCGCTGCAACAGAACAACGCCTCGTCGTGCACAGACTTGGCCCTGGCCTGTACTCTCCAAGCTGAGACGAGGCTTCACTGTCGGCCACTCATTTCAAGCAGTGCTGCACACCGCCCTAGAACATCTTTGTCACCACCACCCAGTGATCAGAGTTCATCTATCGGACTGGAGAAGTGAGTCATCTCGTGTAAGCTGTACGCAGCGTCGGATCCCTAGTCTCTGGGCGTCATCTGCAGGGGTTCCCGGACCTAAGCTTTGATCCGCCCAGTAAATCTGAATCACGCGCCGTTCTCGTCGGGTCTTTATCCGGATGAAGGAATCGGACCGTGAAGGGGCGGTTCTCACCAGGTCTTGAAGTACGACGACTAACAAATCCAAAATATCTTCGTCACTCTCAACTGAGAAGTGTACGTAATGATGCATCACAGTTGTGATCGATCAGCGGGATATTGGGGAAGGATTGTGTATGAGAGTGTCATCCGAGATTGCCAGCGGGAACAGACGGAAACAAAGTAGGACTTTTAAGACGCTCTCGGTTTCTCTTGGCAAGCTCTGCGTTTCGAATACGATCAAGCCTCTTCTGATAGAATACCCTGCATCATGTCAGATTACTAGCGTGACAAAATTACCAACCTCGGCCTAGAGGCAGCAAGTAATCATACTTCTGAAGAGTATAGATTCGAGGGATGTCATCCGCAGTTGACGATGGCTCTTTATTCGTAATTGCTTTGATCTTGAGTTGGGGTCAGCAGTGACTACTTCTAAATATACGCCGATCTACCTTGGCATCTTTCTCTTTCTCTGCCTTCTCATCATCAACATCATCTTTGCTCTCATCGTCCTTTCCCTTCTCTTTGTCCTTGTCCTTGTCTTCTCCTTTCTTAACTTTGCTCTTCTTCCTTTTCATCTTGTCCTCGTATTCTTTTTTGATAAGCTCAATCTCACGATCCATTTCCTCCTTCTTTCTCTTAGCAGCTAATTCTGCTTCATCAATAACAGGAGTACAAAAGCCACGGTCTTTCAGGTGTCCTGGGCAGATATAGAAGTAGTCCTACTCGCTTGTCAGTTGACCAGAAAAGAAGATGAACTAGTCATACCTTGTTGTCTGGAGTGATTAGGACGCTCGTGGTTGGCTTGTAACAGATGTCGCACGGCTTAGCTGATGCCTCTGCAACTCTTCGAAGATGCCAAACATTGACGAGAGCCATTGTGACCTTGTCAGCCTGCGCGCGGCAGAAGGGAATGGCTCCGCTTGACAAGAGGTTGAATCAAACGGCGGGAGCACTTCGGAGGATTCGAGAGCCGGAGCTCTAGCCATTTAAAAAATTTTTTTTTTTTTTTTTTTTTTTTTTTTTTTTTTTTTTATCTAAATCAAGCCATGAGCCCTAAGCTGGCAACTACTGAGAGCTGATATTGAGGAAATACCTTGGGGAGCGACTTGCAAGAGAAGCCGAGTCCTCAGTAGCTACAGAGGCAGTCGCCCAGAAAAACGCGTAATTTGAGGCAAGAAATTGCCGAGGTCCTCTGCATTGTACCGTAAAACATCACATATGTACACCCCAGAGCTCCCTTCGTGTCGGCTTTACTCAGTAACCCTCAAACTCCTCCCATCATCCGTCCCATTTCTTAACCTTCCAGGCTCTAGCCCCTCAATGCTAGCCTTTACACTCTCTGCTCTTCTCCGCGCATCAACCCAAATCATAAATTCCGAATACGTTGAAGGCATAACACGGATATTTCTCTCTACCAAGAACGTGTAGTTGAATTGGCCCGTCGGCTTCGTTTCTCCGTGCTCCACATTCCTTACCTTGCTGTCTATGCGAATTTGCACTCTTGTATATCTCTCTCCGGGACCCTCTGCCGTATCTTCAACGCCATCGCCTGCAATATTTGTCGTCACAAGCGGCGGATCTGTATATGCTACGATCGCCGTCAAGTAGAGCACGCTACCAACCGGCACTGGGTTCTCAAAAGTGCTGGGATCTAAGCTGACAAAAGTCGGCCGCGAATGAGAACATGCAGCCGCACAGCAGAAAGCGAGCTCGAAAGTCTGTTTGAGCAGGAAACCTCCGAAGATCATGAAATTGTGCCGGTTACGGTATTGAGGCTGCATGATCTGCGATGATTGCTGGCGGGTTTTGTCCATGTAGATTACGTTCTCGGGTTTTCGGGTTGAGATGTTGGGGTCTATGTAGACGAATTAGGGTGGGCGTGAAAGTCATGGTGGTGATAAAACTTGCCATGATATTCTAGCTGCTTGAGCCACATCGCATGAATTAACTCACTCTCTTCCTCGTTGGGCGCCTGTTTACGCAAAGTCCTCTTGGCGAGGGCTTTCTTTCCAGTCGAATTCTTCTGGCCCAACTCAAATAGCCGCTTCTCTTCTTCTGTCTCTAGTTTAATAGGACTTATTGCAACCGGCTTCTTAGTAGACGGATCTAATGACACCATAGTGAAGGCACACGTCATCAGGACATCTTCTTTATGGACTTTAGCACCTTTTTCTGGGGCTTTGGCCACTTGTAGAGATATTTCCATGCTACTCCTCCCTGTTGCATAGGTGACCTGACCGGACAGTTCAAGATCGCATAGCTCCTTCAAGGGATGATTAATCGTGATTCTATCAACAGCAGCTGTGACGGTTGTGACGGATTCTCCTGTGTGCTTGTATGCAATGACTCCAGAGAGGGCATCGAGATCCATGAAGATTGTTCCGAGTCTTGTATTGTCTTAGCATGAGAACCGTTTCCAACGCCCATTGAAGCACACCTGATATGGCCGTTCGAATTGAGGTAATTGTCTAGTAGCCATGGATCTTGGGCTAGTGGTATAACCTAGCCTGAATCAGTCAGCCAGTCAAAATTCCAGGTTTGATATATTGCACGTACGACTCGATGGAAGCTATCTGACATCTTCTTGGGCGTGAGATCGCGGTCTGGTGGAGTCGCGGGTGTGCTTGACGGCTTGGTCGGATCAAACCCCTCCTTTCTCTGCTTTTCCAAAGCTTCGATCCATGGCGTTCTTACACGCATGTTGGTCAAGTCCTTATATACCCCGTCGGTGCTGCAAGCCGGAGTGGCATGGAAGCGGCGGAGTGCTAGAGAGCGTAGAGGACCGAGAACCGTGGCGCTGCGCAACGCTCGCAGAGAGTGAATGGGCGGCATCATGCCTTATCAGAAAGTAAGTCCGTGTCGATTCCAGCGTTGCGTACTGGTGGAGTACCGGCGAAGCCGAGCGGAAAACTCCCCTCAGAACCACCAGAGTTCTCGGCAAAGGCCACCAAAATCGGATGAATTTACGAATAGGGGGTTGACCTCCGGCCTATTTCGTGTATATAGACCAGAGTATGCCCGCCTGCATGCTTTTCTTTTTTGTCTTCATGGTCGCCTCGGTCTGTCACTGACATTCGGAATAGATAAGCTATTCCAAAATGAGCTTAGTCTGCAGGGCACTGTTTTGCCCACCAATGAGGAGGTTCTACCTATGGACCTGAATCATAGAAAAACGAGGCCGAAACAATCATCTCGAAACCCATCGATTTGGAAAATGTACCACTCGTTCATAGCTTTGGCTTCTGCAGGTATGTGATCTTTGCGTCCCCCTCCTTTCGGCACTATTCACACGTCTTACGAGCTCTGTTAAATCGAGGACTGATCACTAAGTAGAAGGCTTTGTCGACATCGAGATTCTTGTGCTTAAGTCTCCCTGGGAAGCCATAAGAAAGGTGACAAAGACATCCTGAACACCCAGGCCTATTGGGTACTACACAATGGTAAGTGGGGTAGGCTTTGATGATTAATTGAGTTTGATAACATCCAGCTGTTCCTTCCTTACCTTGGCAATCATCTAATCATCTAATCGACTTTGTTGTTTGATAATTCCTTACCGCTTTTAAACATGCGGAAGTACATCTTTTTGATACATTTCAGATCAAACACACGTGGGAAACGCTTTGGAATACGAGTTGATGGTCAGCGACAGCCCTCAGCTGCAAGCGAGCGAATGGGTCCTTACTATCGGATTGTATTCTGTCCTTCTGTTCGTGGAAGGTCAGCCCATGGAGGGTTGCCATGAATGTAAGCGTGGCTGTGTCTCGCCTCTCGTAGGTCAACGTCTCCATCATTTGTCCCCACAAGAATCGTAGTGAAGAGAGCAAGATGTTGCCAATACAATTTCAAGGCTTCTGGTATTAGGGGAGCATAGCTCTGTTGGAACTTTGTGGGGCATTTCGTTTACTCTAGAAGAAAGTGGGAAAATATGCACGCCAGATGAGGGGAAGAAGATTCGCATGAATTTTCAATGCAGGCTAACATTATCTCGCGGAAATCTTCGGTGGGAGGGGTGATCGCATCTATGATCCTCTGCTGCGGATTAAGGGCCATTCAAAGTTGCTGAATACTTCCAGCGACTTTCAGCGCAACGCTGATAATGTCGACACCACCTGAGCGAATTCGAGCGATGTAGTAGTAAGTCGATTCACACATCGCGTGCTATCGATCTTTAACCCCCAACATCTACCTCATTAGTCTAAGGCTCACTCTTTGGCTCGGTTGTTTGAAAAAGAAAAAGGAACAGAATACATTGCTGGGCTACGTTCAGTCTAACCGGTAGCAAGTTGGTAATGGGCCTGGAAAGGCAGCTTAATGGCCCAAACTGCTCTATTAATAATCCAAAAAGGATATTTCCGAACGCCCGCGTTCTGCATGATACAAGTAGGTAGCTGGCTGAGCCTGCTCGGAATAGAAGCGCCACTTTATCACTTTTCGCATTGGGTCCTCTCTTTCGCGGTCAACAATGTACTCCAACTTGTGGAAGTGCATACCTTTCAGTCCTCCCAGGTTTGATTCTAGCTATGAGACTTTCGCCGTTCGACCTCACTCGTTGCAGAGTCGGACAAATTAACGCTAAAGATGAGTCGCCGGCTACCATCAAGATGCCTGAAGTCTGTCCTGTTGTAGACAAATCTCCGAGATAATGGAGAGCGAGCAAACAAGAACGACTCATACTTATTGCACTAATCATTATCTCACTCATGGCGGCGATAGATTCCACAATCCTGGTCCCCGTACTCCCCGGGCGCATCGCTACCACCGAAGCAAAGCGTTCTCTCTGACCAACTCAACAGGCACTGGCCTCCCACCTGCACGGAACATCCACCTCCATCTTCTAGGCCGACACCGCTTTCCTCCTCGCAAATGCCGTCCTTCAGCCCTTCCCCGCGACCCTCTCAGACATCTTCGGCCGCCGTATTTCGCTTCCCTCGTGCCTACTGCTCTTCACAATTGGCAAGGTACTACGCCGTATCTCCAACGCCATCACCGAGTTGGTCGTTGGATGAACGGTTCGCGGCGTCGGTGGAGGCGGTATCGTTGTTTTGACGCTTGTGATATTGACGGATATCGTGTCTCTTCGTCAACCACCGAAATATAACACATTGATATCTCTTGCCTATGTTCTCCTTACAATTACAGGACCGTTAATCGGCGGTCTTGTTGTACAACATATGACGTGGCGGTGGATTTTTGATCTTAATTTTCCATGTTGTGGTTTTGGACTTGCGTTGATTTCCTTCAGCGTTCGTTTAAATACCGAAAACGTTTCGCTCAAACACAAGATATCTCGGGTCGATTGGCTTGGCGGCGCACGTTCGGTCAGAGGCATAACGTGCTTTCTGCTTGCTATTACCTGGGGTGGTGTGCAATTCTCCTGGAGAAGTTTGCGAACCATGGTGCCACGTGCTCTGGGTGCAGTGGGGATGTTGGCAGCGCTTTCATGGGAAGTTTGGGCCCCCCTTTTAAGGCTGGGATTATCAACAGCAGGTCCGCTGTCTTGACGTACGCCTGTGCGTTGCTACAGGGCTTATTGGTGAGTTAGACTCTGCCGCTTCGTCCATACTCTTTCCACTGATCTGGCCCAATAAGCTTTATTGGGCAATTTACTACGTCCCATCTCACTTTGAGGCAGTAAAGGGCTACTCACCCACCACCACTGGCCTCGCCCTTTTCGCACTTTCCATAACAGTGTTTCTACCCACATTATAGTCGGCCTTCTCATGACGAGAATAGGGAGATTCAGATTGGCGCTGTGGGCCGATTGGCTACTCCTTGTTTTGTCTAATGGACTTCTCATTACTCTTTGATGAAAACACTTCGGTCCCTGCATGGATTTGTCTCTTGATCGTCTCTTGATCGTACTTAGAATAGCACATGGTGCTGTTCTTTCACCTTTGATTTTCGGTACTCAGGCCATGGCCAGAACCGAAGACGTGGCGTACGCTGCAGCAATGTGTGCATATCTGAGAATTCTGTGATACGTCATGGCTGTAGCGATTGGCGGCACAGCTTTTCAGAACACACTGGCCTTGCACTTGAGGGACGCTGGACCCCTGGCCTCGATTGCTCGTAATGCGGAGGGCTACGTGGCAGTGCTTGAGAAATTGCCGAAGGCCTCTTCGGACTATAAGCAGTTGATGCAAGCATACAGCTCCGCTTTCAAAATGATCTGGGAAATCATGACTGCCTTCGCGGCTCTAGGATTGCTCCTAAGTTAAGGTGTCGCCCACTGTTTGCTAGATCGAAAGTATGAATCAAGACACAAATCAAACCGTAAGCAGAAACTCGAAGACTCGGAGACCTCAAAGCAACCTACTGCCCAACAATAACAAATGCTATCATCTCCCAAGTATACTAGCGATCTCCAAAGCAGACGAGATTACTGACAAAATTGCGCCAACCCTTGCGATTAGGCTGCTCCTGCTTTGTTATTTCAGGCTCCTGCAACATATCCACGATTTTACCGGTTTCGGTTCCGCCTAACTCTGACCGAATGGTTTCTAGCGGTGAGGGGTACAGCTGATCATCCTCTTGTAGACCGGTGCCTTCACGTCCAAACACCAGAGGCCTCGCTTGCGCGCCGTGCTCGATCAGCAAAGACGTTGCTTGCGACCATGGCTCAAGATTCTCCGTGTCTCGTAGGTCGTCTTTATATCTGAGAAAGAAGGATCAGAAAATGGCCCCAGACTGTAAGATGACCGAAGGATTCATTGGGATTGGCTCCTTGCTTTAACAGGAGAATCAACAGCTCGGCATCCGGGATGGTTCTCGTGTTGATCTCTCCGTTTAAATCTGGACGCAAAGCGTAATCTAGCAGCGGACGTCCTTGCTGCGTCTACCAGTCGGGGATTCTCGGAGAATTTTTCTATAGCATAAAGTCGGAAACCCAGCCGGAATACGAAAGAAAGGAATGTATTCCTCCATTTTTTCCGAGGTATCCACCAGTCCGCCGCACTGCCTTCGGCGGGAATGTAATCCGTCCACCAATAATCTGGAGAAAGCGTCAAGAACCTTTCAAACAAAGATCTCGCGGATTGATCAAGCTCGTCAAGCAATGCAGTCGGAGCCTTGTTTGTATGGAGTTCAACTTCCCGAGCATGGGTGAGAAAAGAATATAATAGCATTTTGAACAACTCTGCATCATTTCTTGCGTCTTTCAGGAATTAAACTTGGGTAAGTAGTGACTTGCAAAAGATCAGATTGACATCGAACGCTTCGTATCTAGAGATTCCCAAGATGTGCCGCAGGTTATCACTTCGGAGATAATCCCTAATAGTTCCGTGCAAGAAGTCTACCCGACGACTGAAAATGAGACGGTTGCCGGGTACCTGATGAACTTCAAAAAGCCCTTTGCAGCAGCTATTGAGGCATCGTTCAATAGATGCGTATCTGTCAGAAATCTGAACTCAGGCTCAGATATCACCTCGACACTAGCCCAGGTTGCCCAATCCAGTTCTTCCCCGTGGGCGAAGGAGTATGTCATGAGTGACGTTGTATGCTCTTTTGCTTTCAGGGCTGTCTGGAATAGCTGATCTGCTTGCTCAAAGTAGAACTTATCCAGCGTACCCATCGTGTGCGCAAAGTAGTGTTCAAGATCACTGGGTATCTGTTTGAGCCTCCTCTGCAAGTCACCGACTCCATCCTCATTCCGAAGGCCCTCCAAGCGATCTCGTACGACCAGAAAAACACAGAGGAATACCCCGTCTGCCTTGTCGACGATATCGAAACAAGCTCAGCGCAGCCAATATGATTCCTGCTCTTGAGCTTCACGAATCGTGGATTATCCACCAATTCGGCTTGAACATAATTATTGATGTCTTTGTAAGGCAACTGCTGAAGGCGTAGACACGGACCAGCCTGGAAGACATCCTCAAAAACGAGCCAAGGGCGGCTCGAGCCACGGACCTTGACATTTGGCGAATCCGAAATTTAATTGAAGAAGGTCGATGCGAGCTGCGTCATCTCCTTCAAACTCATCGAACCCATCAACAAAGAAGCATATTTGTGCAGAACATTGTGCCGTCTGAATTAGATTATGGAAAACATCCAGTAATTCCTTGTTTGTCCACGGCGCAAGGCTCAATGCTCCTAAATTGTATGACTGCCAGCCCCAGGGATTGACTGCTTCTATCAGCTCTGGGGCTTGTGTTAAGATGTCGACAAGCAGAGACTGAAGCAGGCCTGTCTGTGACTTCTGCATCTCAGTCCCATGAATCCAAAAAGAAACAGCCCGCGATGGCCAATTTTCTGGCCAGCGCAGTGTCGTAGGAGATGTTTGGTACGACAATCACCGTACAGGTACCTCATGAGGGTTGATTTGCCTGGCCCAGAGGCATGGTTTTCGAAAGCCCAGTTGAAGGTTGCTCTGAATGTGCTCTCGCGATCGTTGCATGACGTTCATGGAATTGCGGGAAATCTAAGCTGTGTACATAAGATTTTTGATCCTTTGATACTTGTCATCGCTTGCTGTCTCTGGAAGTTTCCCCGAACCCCTCATCACCTCACCCTGATATTTGACTTGCCACTCTTCTAAGAATTCGTGTCTTGCTGATCTTGGGGCTTTGTCTAGGATTGCCGACAAGTGGATGATCTGTCCCAAGGCCTTTCTTTTCATTCACGTATAGCGTCAAGTATCCTTCTTTCCAAGCATTTGTTGTCCCTCTTCAACTCGTGTGTCTCCAACGACTGGTGGTTACTACGAGGAAAATTGATACAGTCATCGATCGATTATCACAAGTAGGAGGTGGAGAACGAGATCTTCTCGAGCTAATCAAAGTCTCCCCAGAGTCTCTTCAATATTTCCTTTGCCTCATTGCGCCTTCAATGCCTGACGAAAGCTCTTCCATTTTCGGTCAGGATTTGAGCACCTGAGGCGATCGAGAGCCGTTGCTAATCCAATAGCAATTGCTTCGCATTTCTGAGCAACAAGCTGAAGGACTTTCTCGTCTTTTGAAAGCTGAAGTGCTCCCTTCTCGTCTGGTTGCTCCGCTGCTGTTTTGAGAGCAATCCGTGGACCCCGTAGACCTTTGTTCAGACGGGCAAAGTTGTCGGTAATGGCTTGGAGCTCGGTGTTCTCTGGCAGAATTCCTTCGCTGCTTTTGCAGTACTCATTGCCTTTCGAGATCACTTCGGCAGCAAAATCAACAACATTGATCACAGATTTTGCAAGGCTGAGCGCAGCCAGAGCTTGGAGGACCATGCTGCCAGACACCTTTTTGGGGGTTCAATGCGTATTGGCTAGATTAATGAATGAGTCCAGCACCATTTGATCAGGACAAGAGAAGACAAGAGCAATCATCGGAGGTAGACGGGACATGTCTCCCAAAGATGATGGGAGCTCGTGTGATCCCGTCTGTCAGCCCGACTATCCCACACGTTAGCAAGGCTACGGGTTGATCATGTTGAAACCCTGACTTTCCCTTTGGGGGTTAGCTTCGATTAGATCAGAAGATATCACTTTATCCGCTTCACTCACTGCGCAACACTTCTTTACTTCCTCGTCGCAATCGCAAAGCCTGTGTGTACGGCGACGTAGTTATCTTACACATGATTAGCTGCCCAATCCGAAAGTTGAAAATCAACATGGGCTTTGGAGCCTTGTGCTTAGAACATGTAAAGTGATAAAATTTTCAAAGAAATCCAAAATCCGAGAATTAAGTGAAAGTGAACAATGGAATGACTGTTTACTTTACGGGTGCAATGAGTCAATTCAGAAATGCAGGTAATCGCTGAATTTTAAGCCATTGAAACCGTAAGATTCGACCTAGTTAACGAGCTCTACATTCTACTTCTGACATCTGCCATGCAACTCTCCAGTAATTTCCTCAACCCTCCCAACTTCGTGGCTCAATGTCATGCCGTCGGTGGTGCATTGCCTTGAGGAGCTTGAACACATCTACGACAAACACAACCTCAAGCTCAAGACCAATGCCTGCATCACCCTCTCTTCTCCCAAATCTTCCGATTATGCTTTTCCCTCCAACGGCCAAGATTTAGATGCTTTCATCACTTCTGGCACATGGATAGTGGGAGCGAACCGGTTACGTCTTCATGTTGAGCTTCTCTTTGATGATATAGTAGTATCGGGCTCTAGTTTGTACCAAGCTACCGAGAATATTGGGGCTGTGATTTGCAACGCGGAGGTGCTGTGATGCTACCATACCTTGAGGTGGATGACTGATTGTGCTACATAGCTCTGGTCACAGCTCTGCCTTGACGCTTCTCTTACTATAAATGATTCGAATAAACTTTTCATCTCCTTGTCAGCTCAGTCATCTAGCGATGCAGATATCCGACCCCCAAAATGTATCCCATCTGCGTACCTAGATTCCATCGGCATGACGTTCCATTTCTCCACCTGCAGACGGACTAGGGATGCTTCGAGGGCTCACGTTGCCGTGTCTGGAAGTGGTATTCAGCACACTTCCGCGTCTACAAACCCTATCCATGAACACCTTGACCGCCGCTACTACTCTCCGTTATCATCACCGGGAGGGACCCAAGGCGTTCTTGGCACCCTAACGTACGGGCATGCTCCGTGGATTTCGGGCTCTTCATCGGTCGGCACCTCGCCAGTGAGCTCTCAAGGCAGTGTCTCATCCAATATGCACAGTACATCTTCACTCGACACTCTAACGACATGCCATAGGTACGCCATTCAGGAAGTCAAATTTGAGATCCTGGTCCAATTGATGGATTCTTCGCTACGGAGAATGATGAGTGACTACAGACCGGTCAGACCCGGAGGTGTTATCGTTTCAAGCGATGCTGGCTGCCCGAAACTTGCTGCCATATCCCCTGCTTTGTTCAGCCCCGGTTATGTCAAGGTACAGTCCACCATTGAATTGCATGACGTTGCTGATGGTCTGATACCAGGCGGTTTCGCAGCGTACCGGGTTACTTCCCACGATAGCACGTACTGTGTGTCGGGTCTATCGCCGCACAAACTCCAGCTGCTTGAGACACAAGCTTAGGCGATTACAAGAATTATCTCTTAGTAGCTATTTGGATCATGGCTCAACCGAGGACTCCGACTCAAGTAGCGCCATATTCTCATCTGTTGTTGAAGCGCGGCTATGGTTTTTGACGCGGAGCAAGCTGATTGATGCTTTGGCTTGCAGGAGCTTGAAGTCATTGAGCACTTCCGGTACAACGGATTTTGGATTGCACGAGATGCTAGATGAATCATTGGACGATGCGGGAGATGTAATGCTGGACGGGGATGAGGCCCCAATCTTCGACGCATATGGCGATGCAATGGAGCTTGATGAGGCCAATCATTTGGACCTATTTCGGGAGCACTCTCTAGGTGGGATTGACGACGAGGAAGAGGAACACTTGGACGACGACCTTCTCTGGAAACATTCCCGGGATGAGGTTGCGTGTGACGGGGTGGAAACCCTGGACAACAATACCGCCTCTTATGTGCATGATGAGTCCAATGCCAAGCTCTGCGGGGCATTTGCATTCGGGTCTGGGGACGATGTGGTATGCTGAGATTCAAGATTGAGCACGGAACGGGTCAAAGGCACTTCAGATATGGCTCACCCTAGCTGATGTATTCAAGATTATCTCAAATTCAGACGGGTCGGTAGAGCAAAAAAGGAACTCTTTGGGAGGACAATTTCGGCTCGAGCCTGTCTGTTCCCTGAGTTCTATCCATGGTCCATGAGTAATCCATTCAGCCCCCGTCGACGTATAACTTTTCATCAAGTATCCATCTCCCAACTCCTTCTGTCACCAACTTCAACAATGCCAATTCATCCCTTCGCGCACTTGACTCCCTCACCTTCGTAGAGCTGACAATTTCTTCACCCTCTTTCCTCCCCTCTACCAATTCAATCCTCCCCGCCCACTCCCTTTTACCATCTTTACCTTCCATTTCCCCTCTTTGCAGCTTCGTCATATACTCATCCTGCTCGTCTCTTCCTCCCCATGCATCACCAGTCCTCCTCGTAACTCTGACTCGGTGTTTCTCGAAAAGCTCCTCCAATGGCGCTAAAGTGTGATCGGGGGGATAATATTTGATATCCAACAATCTAACAAGCGTGTCAAACCCCGTCAGATGAACCTGCTCAACAGGCTTCTTGCCTCCCTCATCATCGATGGGAGAGTAATCCCCACATTCCTCAATCACCCTTGCTTTGTCCACGAAGCGAGCTTTCTTCGTGACACCTACATCGACCACAACACCTTCACGACCGCCATCTGCTCTCATCTCCTTTACCATTTCCTCTGCGAAGATACTCATCATGGCAAGCCTCTGCTCGAACGCCGCCGGCTTCGGCGCCTTATCCGCATTTTGCGTCGCGAGAAGCAGTAAGAGCCTTTTCGGCTCGGCTTTCGACCCGTCATGCAACAAAGCAGACGTGCATATGCGGAGATGGGCGCGCGTGGGCGGATTGAAAGAGGAATCGAGAACGTAGAGTGTCTTCGGTGCGCTTGAGTGTTTTGGAGGGGCGTTGGGCAGAGTGCGGAGGATTTCTATGGTTTGTGGCGAGGAGGCAAAAGCTTGGAGGGAACGCTGGATGGCGCGGAGGTCACGCATTTCATGCAGGTTGTGGTGCGGGGAAGACATGCTTTGGGGGTGGAGATGGATGGTGAGGAGCCGTCTCCGGTGAGTCGAAGAGAATGTCGCTGCGTCATCGATTCCAAAAATTGCTTTTCAGCGCAGCTCAATATTTTTGCCTGCGTCATTGTTGTTACTATATTTTGAATAGAAGCTATACAAATCGCTGATTCTCGGCTGCAGCCAGGAGCGAATCCACGTTATCTTCACCTTGCCACCGTCTTTGTCCAAGCGAGGGTGGAAAAGCGCAATCTGATTCTGAAACCGCTAGCTCATCGGTGACTGATTGCTATCCTGCTCTTCCTTATTACTCGGCCAATTCTACCGGTTTGAGACTGCAAAATTAATTTCACGGAAGAATTTGAGACTGCAAAAGCCGCAGCATTCAGCAGGGCACCATTTTCCAGATCCAAGGCCATCTGCGGATGACACACCGCTCTTCCATCCACATGTCTATGAGCCTTCGTCTCATCGCAGTGCGAGCCCAGCACAATGCCTAGGGTCCTGAAATTAAAGTCGGCGGATATACCCTGGCCTCACTGGCCTCAGATACCTGGGATAAGAGTGTTGTGACAGGCTTGGCGTTGGCGCAGGCGCAGTCACTGCATTGAGCATACCGTTCACAAGCAAATGATCAGGGAGAGCTGGTCAGCAGGACTTGGAACCTCCTGGCATGAAGAGAAGAGGCCATCAGCTTCAGCCTGCAAAGCGCTCGAATTAAAAGGTAGCGACAACGCTGAAGCTTTCAAGAGATCATTTACGACAGGAAGACGATTTTCAATACCTTGCATGCTAACTAAACCAATGCTCCAATCAAACGTTGGATATGTGTCAAGCTAATGCAGGCACCCTCAATCTCAAGGCCATGCTGGAAATCCGATTTGTTCCTGCGTTTGTACCCCTGTTCCAGGGCGAATAACCCCGGTCAACCGTCAGGGCTATGGTCCTCCTGAACTTAATTTTATCTCCCCTCAATTTCTCTTGCTGCTTGCTCTCTTCTCTTCAAAGACTTCAACTCTTTCTCACCATATTCCTTTCTTTCGCTGTCGTTTGGGTTCTTCGTCGCTCTTTTTGCAGTCTCTAGTCACTCATTTGCGAATTGATTTCGCACCACGCTCCTTCAGCCCTGACGATTTGAGTCAAGAGAATACAAGAAATAGAAAGCATTCAGCCCCGAATTTTCCAGATATCCCTTCGAGAAACATCTGCAGTCAGAGGATCACAATCTGAATAAAAATTCTATCAATCACAAACGGCCTACATCTTCGAAGATGTTCAGCAGGCTTGCCGTTGTGTGCCTTTTCGCGTTGGTCGTTGTGGCTCAAGCCGGGCATGAGAAACACCATTCTCATAGCCATAAGAATGGGACACTCACGCACAACCCCTTCCACGTTTATGACCACAAGCCTTCAGGCCATCACGGGCCTTCTGGCTCTGCCGGTTACCCTGCTGAGGCAGGAATCAGCAGCGGTGTTGCTCCTTATCCTACAGGTACCGGCGGGTCGTCTCCTCTCAGCACTGGCGCCTCTCCTCGTCTCCTCACCACTGGCGCAGTGCCCACCTATACGACCACTGTGATAGTGACCAAACTGACTACCTACTGCCCTGGGCCCACCAGCCTCACGCAGAACGGCAAGACATACATTGTCACCAAGGTATATAATCAATGACTTTACCGTACCCTGCCCTTGCTAACAATTTTAGGAAACGACCCTCACCATTAATGACTGTCCCTGCACGTCCACCTATACGACCACTGGCTTTCCCACTCCATCTCAATCTGGAGACACTACCTTAACCTACGTTATCGGCACAGGTTCATCGACCACTACCGTAGTTACCACCATCCACCACACGTCTTACAAGACCAACTACAACGTAAGCACACTCCCTTCAATTCAATATCAAGAAATGCAACTAAAATTCGATACTCCAGACTGTGTACACGTCTGCAGGTCAACCTGGCGAGGGCGGTGAGAATGGTGCGAGTGGTCCTCCCGTAGGTTACCAAACGGTCCGTCACACGATACAGTCCACCATTTACGTCTCTGCTGTGCCTACTGCTGGTAGCGGGCCTGGCACCCCTGGTGAGGGAGGCGCTACTGGTTCGGCCTGTGCAGTTCCTGTCACTGTCACCGTCACCGGGCCTGAGGAAACCGTCACTGTGGTAAATTTACTCCAGCTATCACGTCTACAAGCCTCTCATCGCTGACACATCTAAGACTGCTACTTCTACTCCTGGCTCCGGCCCATTCCCATCTTCTGTAGTTGTTGGATCGCCGGCCCCCTCCGCTCCGGTTTCATCCAGTGCCCCCTACGGCATGAACAACGGTACTCAGCCCACAGGGACTGGCGCGTCCACTGGCTTCCTAACGAAACCCTCCGCCAGCTTCACTCTCAAACCCTCTTCAGGCATCGCGCCGTCTTCCGGTGTCACGTCCGCCTCTACCGTACCCTCCTCAGGCATCGCGCCGTCTTCTAGTGTCGCGACCCCCTCTGGTACAGCACCCTCCTCAAGCAGCACCGTTTGGCCGGCGGTGATGGCTACGGCAGAAGTGCACGCCTACAATTGAAGCGCAACGCAAGGATCTGGCAATCCAGCGTTTAGATCATTTGAGAAAGCATCTGAATCCACACTTTGTTGCTTTCAGTTCTTGTATTTACATTCTTGATATCCGTTTAGCATCTGCAAAGACAAGCATGCAAAACATTCACACTCAACTTAGTCTGATACCACATATCTCGCTGCCGAGTTTACATGTCGAAACGTTTCCTGTTCATTCGGCCTGCTGTGAGATGTAGAGTCTCTGGCAGGCTCCAATCGTTCACTCCGGACATGCCTATTTGAATTGCTCTTTTAAATTGGTCTCTGGGGCAACGCCACCAAGATTCCACCTTAATCTAGCCATCGTAGAGCCCGCCAGCCCATGTAGTAAGACCTCGGAAAGACGATCTCTTTATTGAAGTTATGAGGTATGCGATTGAGGCACCAGGAGGCTCATATGGAGGGGATGTTGCCAAGAGATATCGGTGAATCTAAGCGCCGACTTTCCGGCTTCATCGACTTACTACCAGCCTCCTCCATTCTTACAAAGCATTGCATCTTTCGGCGTCGATAAGTCTTTTGTGTTTTCTGTATAGCGACTTACGATCGTGTTAAGTTGGGGTCTTGTGATCCTTGCGCTAGACTGTATCTCGTTCTTGCGCTTCATTTCGTCACTCGTTGTTACTTGGGTCTCGTGCCAGCCGCAAACGGCCAACGTCCGCTTTCTTTCTGACAGAGAGCTCAGCAGCGCGATAGACTGGACATACTGCTCTCCCCATCTCACACTATAACGCCTGATTTGCGGGTGTGCCTTTTAACGAAATCGCAAAGACCAGTCATCATGCGCGACAACTCATACTCGTCAGATTTGGGAGGCGAGGATCCGGATTCGACTCACCACACGATATCAGAGGAAGTGCAAGATTCTATCATGTCTTCCGACGGCGAAACAACTGGCATTTATAGCCCGCCTCCCCGCATAGCATCTCGAATCTATAAATCTACCTTGACCCGCCGAAAATCATCAGCAGCATCATCTCGACTGAATTCCATGTCCTCGCACCACTCCAGTCGTTCCACGCGATCTGCTCACGGCGGCCCTCAGAGTACTCATATTGCCCAACATCTCCGACGTGCTTCTATAATGGAGAGCCGTAAAGCCAAAGCAGCAGACAGAAATGCACATGCTGAGAAGGTCAGGCTACGAGCAGCCATGAACAAAGCAGCTCCACGTACTACTACGAATAGCGAAGAGCGTGCCATTGCCGCGCAACAAGCAAGAGAACGATACCTTGCTCAGGTCAAGGCCAGTTGCGCCGAAGAAGTCAAGCGATCAAAACGGGTGGCTGAAGAACAGCGAGAGAAAAGGGCTGCTGAACATCTCAAGCTCAAAGAGGATATGGAAGAAAGGCATGCGGAAGCCGAGAAGAGAAAAGCTTTCCTACAACAAAGTCAGCGGCGTACAAGGATGACTAGTTTGCCGTCTGTGGAGGAGAAAAAGGTCGTTGCATACGTATGGAAACCGAAGAACCATGACCAAGCGGCACGAATCATACAGCGCGCCTGGCAAAATCGGCAGCGTAAACTTACGATACAAGAATTTCTGCGACTTGGTTTGACCGTTGATGCGGTTCAGAAAACAAGTTTTGAAGATGTTGGAGTACTCTTAAATCAGGAAAACGTACTCTCCTGCACGACGAAGATGCTGAAGCTTTGCGGACTCAAGGATATGGGAGATGATGATGCGGCCGAGAAGGCGGCTGTTCGAACCTTTTTAAGCACGTTTCTGATCCTTGGCCATCCAGCTCAAGTGCTGAGCAAAGAAGGCGAGCAAGAACAAGATCTCGTGAACAAAGCGAAGGATCTTCTTCTTCATTTCGATCGTATCATCGACGACTCGTCAGGTCCGAGCCATCCAGTCCTATCGGCTCAGCTAGCCGAGCTCTCAGAAGCATACACTTCTTTTCAAGCAGCCTTTGCTGCTTGGAAAGCACATGATTCGTCCTATTTGGTGTCAAACATGCTTGCTCAATTTGTTGAGCTTGATGCTATATGGCAAACAGTCAAAGACGACAAGGACGGCGAGGTAGCGGCAGATTATAGAGAAGGCATCCAGCATAACCAGACTTTGGTGCTTGTCCGGCTCAAAAGACTCGCGGGTCCAGAAAATGCTATGAAGATGATTAAGCACGCAATTCGAGCAAGCAGAAAGACAAGATCAACCAAAAGCCCTGCTCCTGACAACAAACCAAGAGCCGCGCCGGTTGACCAAGCTTCGACCGAGTCTGTTATGCCAGAAGTATCCGTTCCAAGGCCGGCGGAATCTCCATTCACAGCTGCAAAAGGAAAGGATCCTGCGAAACAGAAACTCGAGTCTTCAACGCTGTTGCCTGACAACCGACACATACTGCATGAGCTCGCGATCAACAAAGAGTTCAAAGTCGATCTACAGCCACGTATTGACCTGCGGGACAGTCTTATCGATGATGTATCAAGAAGCATGCAACAAGGCCTCGATGCTGCAGAGGGAGAGATCTGGGTCCCTGCCATAGCGAAGGTGATATATGAGAAACTCCTCCGTTTGTTGACACCGGGAAACTCACTTCATGTTTTGATCTCCGAAACACTCGACCCTGCAATGGTCGCGAATCAAGTTAAGAATGGGGCTTTTTCGTACGATAAATTCTTCTCCTTCATGAACACCATCCTGCCAAAGTTGTGTGCACCTGTTCGAGACTCCGATGTTAAGGACCTCGCAGAGAATCCAAGCCACGATCCTATCAAACAGCTGGCTAGACTCTATTATGTTATCGACTTACTCTTGCTCGATCACATGAACTTTATGCTGCAGAGATTGGGACCAACGCTTATCAATGGATCTGTTGACTATGAGAAAAATTGTTTCCTAACAAGGCTGGAGGATCAGTTTCCTGTAAAGACACTAAGATGGTGGAGAGCCGCAGTGGCCAAGACGAGAGAAGAGCCATTGAGACGAACAGTGGAGGGCATTTCAAGCCCAGCAGCCAGGGTTACAGCTGATAGGATATACATGTATGGACTTGTTGATCTTGCCATCACAACGAACAAACTCGAAGATGCAGAAATCCCCGAAACCCTTGAGCTCGACACTCAGCGTCTGGCACGCATTCGCTCAGATACTCTCCGCTTGATCACAGTATCATCTATCCTTCTCACTGCAAAGAATCTCCTCAGACGCGACGTACGGTCCCTCTGGAAACTTGAGAGCCAGCGGATGTGGGATTTGCCATTTTCGTCATCGCCGGCGGCATTCGTCGCTATCGTTGAATCTCGCTACGCCCTCCCACCGACTACCAGACAGCAACTCACCGGTACAATAGCGCGCCTGCTCACAGACGCTCGAGCAGGACAAGTAAGTCACCCTGTCATGAAAGTGCTCTTGAAGAAAATCTATGCCCACGTTCTCGCTCGACTCGCGGCATCGAGTGCAGAAGAACGCATTCGGACGAGTACTACTGCTAGTGAGGTCTTAGGATCGAGCGGGATGCCGGAGTCCGTGGCAAAGATCGGCGACATAGTACAAGAGCTGGGCAGGGTGGCAGATGTGGATCGGGAAGCTCATGGCAAATGGTACGATGAGGTTGCCAAAACAGCTACCGAGGAGTCTAATGAGTGAGGGAAACGAATCGTGTATCTGGTGTACATTCAAAGCAAGGAAGTGTTGCATTAAGAAGCTCTAGAGTCTTCGGTATTGGTTCTCCGGCTTGGAATGTCTCAGGATGGTAAATGTAGCGATGGTGCTTTAGGTGTTTGGCTTGGGGCTTTGGCTTTGGTCGCATGGCTTCGGGTGGTACACGGTACACATCAAGCCCCTTGTTTTTAGGAAAGATACCAGCACGGCTCTCTTTTGAAAGGCATTGTATTCTAGTTTAATTCAATCTTTCAAAACTGACCTCCGTCATCATAGACTCACTCCACACATGTCCTAGCTCTTCGGCCTCAGAAATGCTACCCAGACCTACCTTCCTCGGCCCGGGTCTCAGCACCAGCGACCTGGCAGTTCCGTTCGAACATCCAGCAACCCAGCGCCTTGTGCTCAACTCTGCCCTGAGGCGGGTGGGGCTCCCGGGTGCATTGCGCCGCTCCCTTGCGTGTAGTCGTGTACTCTTCCGGGCTGACGGTATCGGATTCCTCGTCGCCATGGTTCTCCGTGCCGGTACAGCGGTGGATCGTTGCTTCGACTGGTCTTCGCTGATCGATTACGGCGGAGCGGCGGCGGCTCTGACGGTCGGACGCACTCACTCACTCACTCGTTGAAGAGGCCAGACTTTGATTGTTCGGGTACCACCGAAAGGAAGACGCACCACGTACGTCAATCTTGGAGCTGGCGCGTTGGAACGGCGGTTCCTGGCGTAAGGGATGGAATATTGGCGATGAGTTGAATCAGTCGTTTCTGGGAGAAGTCACGGCATTGTCGCTTCGGATGGAGAGGCCGAGTTGGATGGCGAGCGCACGGCCTGTGCTGCTGGGAGGTCGGGTCACGGATGACGGAGTTTGTTTTGTTTATTGAGAGGTTTTCATGAAGGGAGGCGGGGGGGCGGATGATATTAAAGGCACAGGACAACACAGGAACTTGAGTACCTGGCCGACCCAGTTTTTGCCGGCGCCATGGGAGGAGCACTTACCTCAACGTAGAGAAGAATCAACCGAGTCACGGGCTGTGTTCTTTCCGGGAACTGTAATGAAAGCCGTTCGTCCAAATTTTGCATTATAGTCTTACGGCTATTTTCACATCGTCAAAAGATACGAAAGTGAACACTGCCTAAGATCATGAGGCCCAAATGGCCCATTCACAGCCAGTAAAAGAATCGTATAGGAAAGGTGGAGAGCACGCTAGAGTCGGATCGGCCACAGCCGTTTTACGCACCCTCGGGCCGCTGGGTCGGGCGAAAATAGTGCGATCCTATTGGCTTATTGGGTAGAAGTGCTCTATTTCATAAGCACGCTACCGCAACTGCCCGTAAAACACTCTAAGCAATATCCAGGCAATCGCAATTATGACACCAAATTATTTATATTAATGGATATTTTATGTGACTGATGGTCAAAATACGAGCCCTTTTGTTTTCGGGGTCAAACGCATGCCCATTTCTTTTACCATCTTTCTGCTTCTTCCATCCTACTGCTGCCCATCCTACTTCTGCTCCTTCCTCGGCATTGTGAACTCAGGTCCTAGGAATGATGCTATAGAGGCTTCTCGATTCGACCTCCCCTTACTTCTCTCCCCGACACTTCAACACCGTTGTGACCTCTCTGTTTTTTCCTGCCTCTGTTCGTCTTGCGCCAAAGCACGCAAAGAAGCACGAATTCTCAGCATTCCTTTTCACATCAGTCAATCGCCAAACGAAAATGCGTCCAACAGGTGACGCGCTTCTGAAACGGTGGCATGGAATGCTGGGTCTATCGCGGCAATCTCCGCCATCCTGGTACCGAGATCGACTTCGGGAGGAACTACAGGAACGCCGACTCGCAAAGACACGCTGGCAGAAGCTCAGCGAGGCATCAGACGTCTTCTTTTCTAGCAGTCGAGCTCGGTACGATGGATACCCAGTTCGGAGATTGCCCCCGTTTGTTATCTCTCGCCATGGCCTCGTATACACGTATATGCTGGCAAAGTTCACTTTACGCTGGAAATTCTACCGAACAGCCGCTATCATGTGCAATGCTCCTCATTACGACTCAGTGCGCGAAGTAGTGAATCCCAGCAAAGATCAGAAGCTTGAAGAAGTCGCTTCACGTCACCAGATTGACCCGGTGGCGTTTGTAAGAGTTGGTCGCCAACTGCGACAAGTATGGCCTCTCCTCCCGTAGAGATGTGCTTCCGGCGATCGTCAGACTCAGTCGTGGAAAGGCAATCAGGAGAATACCAAATCCACAGCCTATGGCTTGACGCAAATCTCTCGGTCTCTTGTAATACTTGTTCAGTCATTGCTCCATGCTCTGCCGTTTGCCGCTTCCACAACTCAATTCTCTACCGCCCTTTACCAGAGAGGCTGGGTACATGCGTGCAGAAAAGTGGGCTGCTGTAGCAGGGTTCTGCAACACGCTGAATTGATTGATTGATATCATGATTGCTTCGGCTCTTTGAGTCACTTGATTGCCCAGAAAGAATAAGGCAGCCCAGAGATCGATCGATCTAGCCAATGCGGCCAACCTTCCATTTTACCTCCATCTCACCCTACATCAGCTACATCTAATAACGACATATCTCATCGATTATCGAATTGAGTTTCCTACCCACCCTTCCGAGAAGACCCAAGGATTTAGTATGATGCCTGCCAACTGCGAGAACGCTTCAAGCAACGTATCGGGCTCAATGGCGGATCTTCAGCTAAACCAACCCACTACCCCTGAAAATCGGTCTGCTTTCGATCACAAAGCAGTAGTTGTCGGCTTATACGGAATTCCAGGCTCTGGCAAAACGTTTCTGCTGAACAAACTGAAGCAGGAACTCGGACAGACGCAGTTCTCGTTCTACGAAGGCTCCGAGATGATTTCTACCGTTGTGCCTGGCGGTCTTGACGCATTTCAGAGCATGGAAGAACAAGAGAAGGCGCACTGGCGCCGGCATGCTATTGACGCGATTGGAAAGAACTGCGCTGACAGCGGACAAGTTGCAGTTGTCGCTGGACATTTCATGTTCTGGTCAGAGGAGCAGGAGGCTGGACGGCCAGTGTATACCCTAAATGACTTGGAGATCTTTACGCACATCGTCTATCTAGACGTCCTCGCCGAGGTTGTCGAGCGACGTCGTCTGGACGACACCGAAAGGAGTCGCCCGTCCACATCGGCAAGCCATTTGCACAAGTGGCAGCAGGAAGAAAAGACTCAGCTGCGCGATCTCTGCCGCCGTCATGGCATTTTGTTTTCGCTCGTATCGCCATCTCCGACGCTGCTGAACAAAGTCTCGAGACTGCTACGCGAGTTCAAGTACCATAACGAGGAATACAACCTATCTCAGGCCAAAATCAAGCTAGACGATGTTGTTGTTGCTAATCAACGCCAGCTGGAGACAGTGTTGGTCATGGACGCCGACAGGACGTTGGCTGCAGAGGACGCAGGCGCATTGTTCTGGAAGAGGGTCTCCGACTCGCGGCCATTGCAAGGTGCAGCATCCACATTGAATACGTTATTCAGCAGTCCTTTAGGTCACTCATATACTGCTTTTCGCCAGGCCGTATTGATATATGAAGAGACCGCTAATGATGAAGAGTTTGATACCCTTTGCCAAGAAGTGGCATTGGCGGTGACCATGCATCCTGAGATTGTGTCACTGTTGCAACTGGTGGCAGAGCAAAAGCATGTTGGCGCGGTGGTGGTCACCTGTGGACTGCGTCGTGTCTGGGATAAGGTGCTGGAGAGAGAACGTCTATCGGAGAAGGTGAAAGTTATTGGTGGAGGACGCATTGCAGATGGGTTCGTCGTTTCAGCGGCAGTAAAGGGCGCCTTGGTTGCCCGTTTGCGAGAGGTCCACCACATGCGTGTTTGGGCGTTCGGAGATAGTCCGCTGGACTTGGACATGTTGCGCAAGGCAGATCGAGCCATCGTCGTAGTTGGTGAGGAACAGACCAGAAGCAAGACCATGGATGTGGCCTTGACAAACGCCATCGACTATGACGGCCTTCGGGCGCACCAGGCTGTACTGCCAAGCAATGCCTCACCACGGCTAGATACTACCAAGCTTCCCATGATCAAGCTCACCGAGCCCGCATTCGTCAAGTCTCTCCTGTGCGACCGATATACACATGATGGTCTTCAAGTCCTTTGTGCCACAGATAGGAACGCAGCAAAGCTGCTCGCAACGCGGATGCGCGATGCAGCTGTTGCCGGCCCGGACCTGAGGGAAGCGCATCGCCGTGTCGGATGGTATCTGGCGAATGAGTTCGTGGCCGATGTGATGGGTCTCGAACAGTGTCCAATTCGGCATGTCCTGGGCCATCAAACAAGAGGCTACCAGCTTTTTCACGAGCAACAGACAACGATCGTGGCGCTAATGCGCGGCGGAGAACCCATGGCTTCTGGCGTCAACGACGCCTTCCCGCTTGCCATGTTCCTCCATGCCAGCGATGCTGACGATATCAAGCTCCATCATTTGCAAGGACAGCTCACAGTGATACTGGTAGATTCGGTAGTCAATACCGGCAAGACAATTGTTAAATTCGTGCAGCACGTTCGCAAGCTTCATGCCACTATTCGCATCGTGGTAGTTGCCGGTGTCGTTCAGGCCCAGTGCCTTTCTGGGGGCAGTCTCAACCAGACACTCGCACGTCACGCAAAACTTCATCTTATTGCACTTCGCCTTTCTGACACCAAATTCACTGGCAGTGGCACCACCGACACCGGTAACCGTCTGTTCAGCACGACGCATTTGTCCTGAAAAAATCTCCTATGGCAAGTACAAGGGCGCATAGATAGATATCAACTGGATGATCTCAACATTATTGCCAGGTTTTGTACTGTAGAGAAAGTGACTGGATGATCTCAACATCATTCCCAATTCTGTATCATGGAGAAAGAAGGCACAAGCTCTGCTGTTGCGCGTTAAATGGTTGAGTAGAACAGCCAGCTAAAGAGCAGAAGTTCTACGATAAATTCTTCTTTTCCAACCCTATAAGGCTCTTCAACACATTAGGGAGTTTCAGACCACTTTTTTTAAGCGTGGATTTTTCAGGTCGTGGGAAAATGAGCGATTTGCCACCAACAGCATCCACCAATGCTACCCTGGGGTATCATTGGTGAAGAAAATCGGCCTATTTGGTGGATTTCTCGTGTCGATATTCTATATCTCTTAGCAAATCTATCCAATTAGAAGGTCTTCCTTCTTACCACTACTACTATTACCTCCCATTGCTATCACCTCCCATACCTCTACGTCTTTCCTACCGTCCTTTCTACCGTCCTTTCTACCGTCTTTCCTACCACGCCGTCGCGGACCCCCCCCTCCCTTAACTCCGATTCCACAGCAGAAAAAAAAGTGGTCTGAAACCCCCTATTACATATTGTTCACAGAGGAGAGTTACACTCATCCAAAAGCCTATCATTGTTTTCTCGATGAAAGACTTGACGTCAACAAAATTGCCTTGTATATAGAGACGTTCTATGGTATCGTCGTCAATGCTTTCAAAGGGGCGTTGACCGGCCGTAAGTTCGTAAAGCACTGAACCAAGTGCGACCAGGTCGGACCCAACTCTGTTTTCCGAAATCCTGCTCCGTGGCGAACACCTATTATAATCGTTGAAGAAATGTCCCCTACTACGATGGGGAAGCCTGATTTTATATTTTGATCATCGAACTTCGATTGTGCCGCTTCGGCGTAAATAATCGCAGTGGTCAAGGTTCCACAACCGTCCGTTCCTGCTCGCATCTCCGTTCCAGCTACATTGCCGCAGCTCTGGAAGTCTACTCTTCACCCTCCATGTACCGCTGGAAGATGGCTCCGTTTTTGATTTTGATTTTGGTTTTCTAGAAAAGTCATGTTGCAACCATGTTACTTTATGACAGCAGGGGTGGTGGGGAGATAGCACGCTTGGATGCGGAACGGAGAGAGTTTAGAGTATGCACCACCATGGCCACCCGGCGTGCCTTGAATCCAACCCGAGATTTTACCGCAAGTAATTAGGTCTCCGGACAGAGCAAAGTGAACCTGTGATTGGGTGGTTCCTTGTTGGCAGGCGGCTACAGGCGCCATTTGGGGGGAAAGGTGAAAACTAAAAGGACACCCTCAATAGCCGGGTCGAGTGGGAAGGAGTCGTTGGATGGGTTTGAGATGGGGTAGGGGTTGGAAGGTTGCACGGCTTGCTGATGTCCCACTCGTCCCCCGTTGACGAGAGGTGGCGACGTTTGAGTTGACGCTTCGAGGGTGGTTTCTTCTTCAACGGTAGGTAAGAGGGAGGTACTGGTATTTAGGAGGGGGGGAGGGGGAGTCTTGGCACGATCCTAGCGTGTGCACAAAATGTCACAATTCTTGGCGTTGATTGAGGGATTCTCTAGAAAGCGGTGGGTGTGGCACTACAGAACCAGAGGGATCTGCTTTTTGGAAGACGTCTTCAAGTACGAAGGTAAATACTGCCCAAGGTAATGAGGTCTAAATGGCCGATTGACGGGCAGTAAAAAGTTGGCCTGACCTATCTAAGGTACATTGAGCATTTTCCTTGGATCTAAACTTGCCACCTCTGCACTTCGCACCTCTCCTTCAAGTAGCATCTCACTCATGATCTTCCCTGTTGCTGGACCGTTTTGAATGCCCCACGAATCATGGCCCGCAGCCAGCCACAAAGATCGTATACCTGTTGGTCCTACAAGAGGCCCAATGTCACGATTTCTGCCCTGGACAATGGGTCGGTAACAAGCCTGATTGATCAAGACCTCTCCGTTCCGTATCTCGTGTGATATACTGCTGATATCTTTGTAAATGGTATCACAGACTTCTTGGTTAACATGGACCAAGTCGCTGGTCTCGGGCAATGGAACGTCGTCATCACTAGGCCCACATGAATAGATCGTTCCATCTGGTCGAGAGTATATCTCTGGAGGTATGCGCTTCTGGGGAACCTTCGGATGGAGCTCGGGAAAGAGCACATATGCCGATGTAGGATTTGCCGGACGAACGACGATGCTGTGGTTCCTCGACTCTTTGATGGGAGCAGCTGGATACAAAAATTTGGTCCATGGGCCGGTAGCAATCACGATATCCGTAGCTAGGAGTGTGTGCATTCCGGAAGTGTTTTTCAAATTATAGGTCACCGACTCAGCCTTTCTACCATCCCGCGAGTAATTGATCTTCTTCACCGTGCCGAGAATGATCTTGACGCCTCTCTGTTCCGCTAAAGAGGCTATGCTGGTTGTGAACAGGTATGGGTGCACCTGTCCTGTGTCTTCCGGAGTTCCCAGCTCACTGTACGACGTTATGCTTTCAGGTATGATCCAATTCAATTTCGGCGGAAGATCGGCAGCCTTAGGCGCAGACATAGCGTGAGGGTGGAACTGAGATCCATTCTGCTCTGTTGTCACATGCCCAACAGCCTCTCCCATGGCGTCCACATCAGCACAATGAACGCTCCGATAACCCCAACGTCTTTGGCCGTTATGCTCCTCCGACAATTGGGTGTGAAGCTGATGACTGAGCGGTGCGATACATTGTGGATCTGCCCATGTGGCAACAAGACCTCCCGCCTTGCCTGAAGAGCCGCCAGCAAGCTGACTGGCTTCTAACAGAGTTACAGTGTGGGAGTCCGGGTCATACGATGGGTGACGGGTGATATAATAGGCGATACAGCAACCTATAATGCCACCCCCTTACCACAGTCAGCGAGAAAAACGCTGGTGGGTGATGCTTAAGGCTTTACCAATGATCACAGTATGCCGGTTGTCCGACACCTCGTCCATGTCTTTTCTGGTTCAGATATACTTTATACTGAGGATTCGCTTTCTTTGCTTGTATGTTGTATTCGCGGTACTTTGCGCAGCGCTCTCATGCTTGTGTTCCACAGATGACAGGACTGATTCGGCTCCTCTTATAATTGTGTCGGAATCGGCGGGGCTGTTTCAGTGTCAGTGCCAGTGCCATTGCCAAGGGTCTCAGCAACGAATTAGTAATAATTTAGTGACATCACCGGGGAGCTTCAGCTGGCGAATTAAACATGGAAGAGGTAAGGTAATTGACGGTAGGGGACGGGCTTTGAAATCCGATTTGGCCACAATCAATATATCAAACTTGGCGCTCACCTGCAGGGAGCTGCTTCCATGGAAGATAGACACTTTTTCCTACTAGAAGAGGCTAGTCGCTAGCTGCCGACGAAGCCACCAAACCTGCCTTAAGGTACGAGTACCTAACCTTAGGTAGCTAGCTACTCTACTTAATTACCTTATCTTGGTTAGGTACCTGTTCGTGGGACGGCAGACTAAAGTAGTCTCGGGCGTCTTTCCCCCACCCACGTGCCACTAAGATAGGTCAAGTACCTTACATGTAAGTGACCAACACAATCACAAAAGACTTCAGCACGTTCAGTCAAAGTTCCTCAAACATGAGCTGTCCGCTGCGTCTTTGACACACTCCGCCGAACACTGGATTCGGTTCCAGAGTGCGGGATCTGCTTACCGATTGGGAATATACATTTTACAGGCTTTATCTTGAGTCCAATCCATACAGTGTTGACCTTTGCAGTGAAAAGACAGCTCGATGATTGCTGCCGAAAGGAATTTGATGTAAGATTATCTACTCCGTACAAGCTGCAGGGTCCCCGAAAGAATTGGGGGTACCTTCATGAAATCTGTCGCACGCAAAACGCAACCATTCTTCTTTCAGGTTCTTAAGGCATGAGCGGCTAACGTCGAGTGCTCATTGGTGGCACCGCTCGCATTGGCTATCCGGCTTGCATAATTTCAGTGGCATTGCAACCATTGTAAAAATTGCCCCATGTACGAGTACGCCATGCGGCTTGGCTCAGCTGCCTTCCGAGCCACCCCTGGTGCTCCCAATGTGTGGCTCCTATCTGACCTTCGAAAAAGAGCTCAGGTATCTTTGAGCACTCCCTACAGTATAGTGGGATTTGACGTTCCTTGCGACTCCTCGCGTGCTGTAATTATGCTTTTGAAGCTACCCTAAGGCATGAAGTGAGCATGGTAGGTCTCGCCCACGTGTGCTTCTGGCTGGTCAAAGCTCTAATGGGATCGATAGGCTCCTGAGCCTGCGATCAGACTTGGACTCGAGCTTCTGTATAGTGCCCCATGTGACGGCGGTCAGCCTGGACCTCTTGTGGAGTACGCAAATCCAGATCGTTGCTTCTAATATTGTATCAGTATACTGAGTCATGTTCTCATTAGCGTGGTGGCTATCCACGGCCTCGGAGCCCACCCTGACTATACTTGGATTGCTGGCGATGTCAATTGGCTGAGAGATGAACATATGCTCCCACAAGCCATCCCAAATTCAAGGATATTGCGGTTTGGCTATGAATCTCAATGGCTGGGCAAAGAGGCAATACAGCAGAGGCTGCCGTTGGTCGCGGACCAACTACTGCGGAACCTGATGGCCTCACGAAAGGTGTGGCGCAATGTCCTATTTCCCCAGACTGGGATTGAGAATTCTCTTAGGAGTGTCCGTTGCGACCAATCGTATTCATTGGGCATTGTTTTGGTGGTATAGTCATCGAAAAGGTCTGTCATGCAGACCATACCGCTCAATCCGCTGGTTATCGATGATACTAATCCCTACAGGCTTTGGTATCCGCAAAACTCCACGAAGAAGATTATCCATGCATTATAAGATCCGTAGCGGGGATTATTTTTCTAGGAACGCCACACCGCGGATCAAACTCCCACTCCAAGGCATCAGTGATCGCGAACATCGCCTCAGCTGTTTCCCTGGGAGAGCAAAGCAGCCTACTGAAGGCTGTTGAAAAAGACTCTGAGATGCTGGCGGATCTCTTGCATGATTTTACACGTACCGTCAATACCATATCGATTCCTCTGTTTTGTTTTTTCGAGCAGCACAAGTCAGATGTTGCAAAGGTCATAAGATTCAAAGGCTCCAAGAACTTGATGCCGAGTGTCAAGGTACGGCAACACGTCCTAGTGCGTCGCCACAACCAAAACTGATATACTTCTTGTAGGATGCAGTGGTTGATGAGCACTCCGGCTGCCTTGACGGCTATCCTAAACTCGGCCTAGCGAGTGACCACTTTCGGCTGAACAAATTCACCAACCCGGATGATGGTAATTATCGTCTGGTGTGTGAAGAGGTTGTGAGATTTGTTGATAGCGCGCCTGAGCGGATTAGTAGTCGACGCCCGGGTAAGTACTGTATCTCAGTTTCGATTCGATAGAACCAATGCTGATACTATAATTTTCCAAGCTCTGCCGACCATGCCAAGCTCCAGCGATTTCGATTCTCGTTATCTCAGATCGGCTTCGCATACGACGAATCAACCTCGAAATGAAATCGAAGAACGACATCGTGCGAGCGTCCAGGCTTTGTTTGCCACAGATCCTGCCGATGACATGCACATGATTGCCAACAAGAAAGACAAGCTATTAGACACCATAGACTCCTGGATCATGAAAGATGCTACTTATATCAAATGGCTGGGGGACGATCGTTCACTTGTGCTATGGCTACATGGCGATCCTGGAAAAGGCAAAACGATGTTGGCCATTGCGTTGATTGAGGAATTCTCGAGAAAGCTCCGACTGGACCAATCTGCGAATGATACCGCCTTGCTCTACTTTTTCTGCGACAATCAAGACGACAGGCGTCGGACAGCGTCCCTCATCCTTCGTGGCCTGATATATCAAACTCTCTGTCAGCGTCCAGATCTCGCCGTCTACTTGCATAACGAGTACGAGAAACAACGCGAGCAATTGTTCTCCTCTCCGAACTCCCTACACACATTGTGGCGGATATTCCAGACCATCATCGAGTACTCCGGCCTCCGAGAGATCTTTATCGTGATTGATGCCCTTGATGAATGCGACAAAGAAACAATGGAGACGTTCTTGGTGCTTCTTGAGCCTTACATCACAATTGAGGATGATGAGCTCGCTCAGAGTTTCCAGAAGGATCCGAGATGTAACATCAAATGGCTCTTGACGAGTCGAAACGAATTGATGATTAAGCAGCTATTGACAGGGTCACTAGACGTTAGTCTAGAGGAAAACTCTAGTCATGTTGATGAGGCTGTTTTGAAATTCATTGACGTCAAAGTGAACCAGTTGACCAGGGTGAAAAATTACGATGAGGCGCTTAGAGCAGTCGTGGGAGATTGCCTTCGTCAGAAAGCCGAGGGAACTTTCTTGTGGGTTGCGCTGGCCTGTCGTGAATTATCGAAACCCTCGGTATTGTCGATCAACACGGAGGAGACACTTTCTCATCTACCTTCTGGAATAACGCCTTTGTATACTCGAATCATGGATCAAGTCTTGACCTCTGGAGACGAGAAGTCCACTGTTTATATCAAATCGATTCTCCAGTCTATGATCGTGGCTCTGAGACCTCTTATGCTACCCGAGTTGGCTGTGGCTGCGGGCTTGCCAAAGCAATATCATCACAACCTCCACGTGCTCGCAGAATACGTCGACCAGTGTGGATCAATGGTTACTATTCGGGAACGGCAAGCTCACTTCGTTCATCTGTCGGCGAAGACCTATCTAAGACAGGCCCATTTCGTCCACTTGTCAGCCAAAACCCATCTTCTCGAGAATGGCATAGACAGTATTGTCTCTCACGACCTCCGTGCTGAGCACCGGAACATGGCCATTCATTGCTTCCAATACGTATGTGGCCAAGTACGCTCTGGTCCAAAGCCTCGTGATTCATCACCATCCATATCATCATTTCGCAAAAACAGCGAGGTGGGGAAAGACGCAAGAGATGACATCTCATTCCTTGAGTATCCCATGCTTTTTTGGACAGATCACGCGCGAGATTCTTCGGATGATATCTGCGAACATTTTGACGTGCAGGAAGAATTCTTTCAAGCGAGATCAAAGGAATTCCAAGGATGGTTCGGCGCATACTGGGTCAAGACTCACGCTGAAAGCGAAAAGGTACCAGGCTCGTTCACAGCAATGCATCTCGCAGCGTATGCGGGGCTTTCATGGTTGCTATCGAAGCTGATGGAGTCAGGTCGCGCGTCTGATATACACTCCCGTGACTCCCTCGGTAACCAGCCGCTCTTATGGGCTGCGATGAATGGGCACTTCCAAGCGGTGCAATTTCTATTAGCTCGCGGAGCCCAAATAGCAGCCAAAAACAATGAAGGTGTGACCGCGCTTTACTGGGCAGCTAACAATGGACATGCGTCCATCATACAACGGCTGTTGGCCAAAGGTGCCAACTGCAGGCCCAAAGACAAAATTGGATGGACCCCGTTGCATCGAGCAGCTTTCAACGGACACACAGGGGTTGCACGCGTACTTTTAGACAGCGACGCAGATATCGAGGCGAAGGATGGTACAAAATGGACCGCTCTGATGCGAGCAGCGACTAATGGGAATATGGAGGTTGTGCGACTCCTACTCGCAAGAGACGCAAATATCACAATAAAAGATATGGAAGGCTGTACTCCCATGCACCACGCAGCGTTGAAGGGCCATGCGTCAATCGTCAAGCTCCTCGTAGAACAAGGCGCCGATCCAGAGCACCGGGACAACGACGGCTGGACAGTCTTGCAACATGCATCATGGAATGGCCATGAGAAGACCGTGAGATATCTGCTCAAGAACGGCGCAAATGTGCACTCCAGAGCAGATAATGGTTGGACAGCACTGCATCAAGCTACATGGAATGGTCACGCAACAGTGGTTGGACGTTTGCTCAAAGGCGGCGCAGACCCAAATGAGACTGATGACGAAGGAGAATCGCCTTTGCATCAGGCTGCCTGGCGAGGGCATCCTGCAGTCATGAAGCTACTGTTGGAAGAAGATGCTGACCCCAATTTGAGAGACCGTACTGGCCAGACAGCGCTTCATCAAGCCGCCAGTAATGGCTCAAAGGCGGTAGTGCAGCTGCTGCTCGATGAAGGAGCTGATCCACGTGTTGAAGACGACGATGACCGAAAGCCACATTCGCTAGCAGAGGAAAATTTCCATCATCAGATAGCCAAGGTCCTGAGAGATCGAGAAAAAGAGGTCTACGGTGACGAAGTACTTCCCGACACAAATAATATTCCCAAAACATCCCTTCCTGATTCGCACGTGGATTCAGCCATCATCGCCATCCTCTCTGCAGACCCAGAAACAACCGTGATTGAAGCGTATGGTCAGGCAGGATTTTCTACTCCATCGAAGGTTACTACTGTCAAGGAAGGAAACATTAGCGTCCATTTTTTGAAGACAGGACCTGATGGCGAAATGTTCAAAGGTTGTGCCACCTCTGTTCGCAGTACTTGGTTTTGCTAGCTCACTGACGCTCGAATAGGAGAGCACGAATCGTTGACTGCCATTCACTCAGCCGTCCCTACCCTTTGTCCTAAAAGCGTCGCCCATGGAAAGCTTTCGGATTCTCCCGGCTACTTTCTCCTCACCGAGTTCATCGACATAGGGGCTGTCAGTGATGGTAGTCAAAGTCATGGTCTATCTCTTGCTCAAAAGCTTGCAAAATTGCATAGCTCCCCTACGCTGATTCCGGCAGGATTTTCCCGGCCGGTTTTTGGCTTTCCCGTCATGACCTGCGTTGGTCGCACACTTCAAAATAATGCATGGAGTCGTTCTTGGCCTAAATTTTTTGCCGAAAACCGTCTCCGCGCTGTCTGTAGCCTTGTTGAAAAAAATCATGGAAGCGACCCAGATCTGACCTCCTTGCTTGATCGGGTCGTTAAGGAGGTCATCCCGCGGCTTCTGGGAAATGGACATCTGGGAGGGAGGCAGGGAGTTCAACCTGCGCTTGTTCACGGAGACCTGTGGTCTGGTAATAAGGCCCGAGGAAGGGTCGGAGGCAAAGGCGGCATGGAAGATCTTATATTCGATGCCGGCTCGTGCTTTGCGCACTCAGAATACGAACTAGGAATAATGAGAATGTTCGGAGGCTTCTCTGCTGGATTCTTCAACGAGTATCATCGGCTGATCCCGAAGACGGTACCAAAGAACGAGTATGATGATCGTCTAGCGTTATATGAATTGTAAGGAGTGCTCAGTCAGAACTCCTGTTCGTCGGCAGGAACATCGAGCTGATTTTGATTTCAGATATCAGTGGCTAAACCACTACGCGCTGTTCTCCGGCGGATATAGAGAGGATGCGTTGGACTGTATGGAGAATCTTGTCTCGAAGTATGGCAAGGACGAAGGCGAGGGTGGAGGTTCATCTTCCTCCTAGGATGAGAGGCCCTCTTGCTCGTCGCGCCGGCTATCATCTGTCAAATCATGCCCAGCCATCTCCGGAGCGAGCAATCTATTGATAGGTCAGGATGGAGCCCCGCAGGCGATACAGACAATTTTGTACTTTGAACAAGTACTGCTCGTTTTCTGATTCTTTATGATTCTATAAAGGTGACCTTGAGATCCATTAAAGTGAGGATATCGAGAGTCAAGAAGCCGGTACGTACGCAATACGTTCAACTCCAAGAACATCAATCAACGTCTTCCCACGAAGCGATATCATATCGTCGGTCAAAGAACGGTGGTTCCGATTGGCTTTCTAGTCGAGTATTGCAACTTTGTGTTAAAGCCATCAACAGCAGTGATTGGCCTTCGTCCATGCAACTTTGTCATGTGAATAACACCGCCTGCACCATTACGCATGGTGAAGAGCGTACGACCGTGGGCGACAATGACACTGCCTTCACCAGACCGCCAGCCTACTTGTACTCCAACACCCGGCAAGGTGCCAAGCCTTCACTTCTCACTCGCCTGCATTAAAACTCCCATTTTCTCCATTTCTCGTCCAGTCTCCACTTCCCAACTCACGCCTTTGCCATCTTCTCATCTTCTCACACAGGATCAACCATCGACGCAACGATGTCGTCGGAGGTATCATTCGAGACTCCTTACGACATCCCCGCTCTCCTCACGCAGATCGCATCCAACGGCGGTGATCTGCTGAAAGGCGGTGAAGAAGCACGTCAGGCATGTCTGACCGCCGCACGCAAGCTTCAATTTGCGCTCGAGAAGCCCACCGAGTCTATCTTGCGAGCCCGTGTTGCAGAGGTATGAACAGCACCCTTCATCGCGTGTAAGACTGCAAAGCTGACCTCTCACGAATCGTGCAGCCAGCTCATCATGCTGCTCTACGCATTGCTGTCGACTTGGGTCTCTTCCAGAAGATGGCTGAGAGTGGGAAGAAAGTCACGAGTGTCACGCATTTAGCTGCATTGACGGACGCTGATGTTGTGCTGTTGGGTATGTGATCTAAGAGTGTGGTTTTTCCTCGACCCCGCCAGCTAACACATCTTCTTGTACAACAGCGCGCTTGATGAAGCATCTTGCCTCGATGGGAACGTTGTACGAGGGCGAGATCGCTGGTACTTATTCTTTGACACCCCTTTCTAAGGCTCTCTCCCAGCACAAGAAGTTCCAAGAGGCCATTCCTTTAAGGTCAGTGAGCCATTTCTAATCAGCGGTATGCTTCAGTGTCACCAAACCTTCGCTAATGCTCACCATCACACAGCTTCAACGTCATCGGCCCCTCCTTCGCCGCGCTCCCCGAATACCTCCAAAAGACCTCCTACAAGAACCCGCACGACGACCTCTCCCAGATCCGCTACAGCAAGGACCACAACCAATACTGCGGCCCCTTCCAATTCGCGCACAACACGCCCAACGATTTCTGGGAATGGATCGCCTACCGTCCAGAACGCGTGTGTCCTTTTAACAACCAGATGAACGATCGGGTGACCGGGTTATCGAGCTGGGATGATACGCAGCTGCGTCCTTTGGAGGAGAAGCTGGGAAAGGAGGCGGGTGATAAAGATGTGCCGGTGCTGATTGTGGATGTGGGTGGAGGGAAGGGACGCGATTTGAAGGCGTTTCATGAGAAATTCTCTACGCTGCCTGGACAGCTTGTACTGCAGGATCGGGCGAGTGTGCTGGATGATGAAGAGGTGAAAGGGTTGGATGACAAGATCAAGGTCATGGAGCATGACTTCTTCACTCCACAGCCCATCAAAGGTGATCCATCCCTGTCCACCCAATCCGTGGAGACGCAACACCAGGACTGACCGGGATGCACAGGCGCACGAGCATACTACCTTCACTCCGTCCTCCACGACTGGTCCGACGAGAAGTGCGCCGACATCGTCGCCAACCTCAAGCCTGCCATGACCAAAGGCTACAGCCAGCTACTCATCACCGAGCATGTCATCCCCGACCATGGCGCGAACTGGATCAGCACCACGCTCGACATGATCATGATGTGCTGCTTTGCGGGTGGCGAGCGTACAGTCCGGGACTGGGAGACGTTGCTGGGGGATGCTGGATTCAAGATCACGAGCATCAAAGGGTGTGAGCCGGGTACTGAGAGTTTGATTGAGGCGGAGTTGGTTTGAATTGGATTGAATTGGAAATGGAATGCATGAGACTTGGAAGGCTTCATGGAGGATGTGCTTGAGAGCTAGGTCTAGAGTCGGTTGAAGGAATCATGACATTGATACAGATCATGAAGGACATTTAGACATTGACACCCCAATACATGATTCGTGATATCGACCATTAATTCATGGATTGACAACCTGCTCTGGCCGTAGATCAGTGGGTTCGTTGTGAACATACTCTAGGCGAGTATTCTGGTGTGGGATTAGGCTCCGGACCAGGCTTCTTTGGGGCCTCAGAGGGCTTTGGAACCTTTTTGACAGAATCAATGTCATTGGAGACCTTAATCCGAGGCGTGGTTGTTCCACAGTACACTTAAGCCTCATGCCTTGTAGGAAAAGGTACCAGCCCCGTTCTCTTTTGGAAGTCTCGTCGATTACACCTTTCGAAGCTGATTTCGCGCTTCGTAGAGTGTGTTCTAGACATGTCGTAGCTGTAGTAGGTCCCCGGGATGCACAGGATGCCTCCAAATTCCAAAGACTGCTACAGTGTTTGTTGATAGAAGATGTCCGTCGTCGCCTCATGTTTTAGTTACAGGTACTCATCTTTCCCTGCATGAACTCGAAGAACATCGAAGCCGTTAATCTTAGGGTTAGGGTTAGAGTAGGGCTACTAGACTAGCGGTCGAGGCAGACTTCCACGATTTCCGTGATACCTGCCGGAGAACGTCATCACAACCACAAGCATTGGCATGTCTCCTATACTTCCCTTCTATGTCTCTCGAGCTCTTCTGATGTTCAAGCTCCTTTTCTTGTCCTTCATCCCTCATATCGACCTTCAACCTCCCTAGATATCCAATCTCTATTTCTCCAGTCATCGCCTTCAACAATCATGTCTGATCCAAAGAATCCTAACATTGACAAAAGAAGCACTCCTCAATATGCCCTGTACCAGAGGGAAAACTTTTGGAAGACTAATACCGGGGAGGTGCCTCCATTCAATACTGGTCGGGTTCCCCTTCCTCCAGGAGCGTACTGAGCGGCAATTGACATTCCTTCTACAGAACCTGGCAAGCTAGAAGAACTGGCAAAAGCGAAGCTGACAGAAGGTGGATGGTATGCACGAGAACTCTGTCGTTGTCTGGCAGCCCAGTTGACATGTCCGAATAGGTACTACGCTTCTTCAAATGCCGGTCAATCCTACACTCACCTTGCCAACCGCCAGGCTTTCTTCCGTCACCGAATCATTCCCAGGCAATTGGTTGACACGAACCTACGAGACACCACCACTACCATCTTTGGCCATAAAGGTATCAAACCTCAGAATTTCCAAACAAGCTCTGGTCTGACTCATCCTCAGTAAGCGCCCCCATCGGCTTCGCTCCTATCGGCATCAACGTCATCTACAATCCGCTTGGCGAGCTTCCAGTAGCCAAAGTGGCCAAAGAGCTTAACCTCCCATACGCACTCAGCACAGCCGGCAGCAACCCCATTGAAAAAGTAGCCGAAGCAAATGGCCAAGGTCCTCGTTTTTTTCAGCTATACATGCCACACGACGACGAGTTGACCGTCTCCCTCCTTACGCGAGCCTTCAATTCTGGCTTCGATGTCTGCATACTCACTACAGATACATGGCAGCTGGGTTGGCGACATGACGACGTTGCTACGGGCAACTATGCTTTCTATCATGGTATAGGTGCGGACCTTGGACTCAGCGATCCAGTCTTCCAGAAGCGACTCAAGGAGGCAGGCATTGACCCTGTGAAGCAGCCGAACGAAGCCGGCGCTATGTGGATTGACAATGTCTGGCATGGACGCGCGTGGAGCTGGGAGAAGATCCCATGGTTGATCGAAACATGGAAAAAGATTAGCGGTGGTCGACCGTTTTGTTTGAAGGGTATCCAGAGCGTCGAAGATGCGAAGAAAGCTGTGGAGGTGGGCTGTGATGGGATTGTTGTGAGCAACCATGCTGGAAGGCAGGTCGATGGCGCGATCGCCAGTCTGGACGCGCTTGAGAACATAGTTGCCGCAGTCGGGGACAAGACATATATCATGTACGACAGCGGTATCAGAGGTGGATCTGACGTGCTCAAGGCTCTTGCTCTGGGAGCAAAGTTCGTATGGGTGGGAAGACTTTGGGTTTGGGGATTGAGTATCATGGGGGAGGCGGGCGTGAGACATGTTATGAAGAGTTTGCTGGCGGACTTTGACATTCTGATGAACGTGGGTGGATTTCAGAATATTGAGCAGATTGATCGGACTGCGTTGGGTGAGTGCTTCCTTGACTGTATGATGGACGAGAGACACTGACTTGTTTGTAGAATCTTATCCCAAGGCTTATGCGATGATCGCGGAGAGGTCAAAGCTATAGAACATCTATGATGAAGTCCTCTTGAATCGGAAACGCTGCTCAAGCCGGGTACCTACCCGTAAGCCCCCGCCAAACCATCTCTCTCTTTGGCTTCAAATTCTCGACTTGAAAGATGTTTAGTATCGTCTTATGTGTATTTGAATCTTCGGGGCTTACCCGCTGTCTCATTTTTTCCATGTCAAAATATTGGAGTCTTTCCTTGCTGCTAGATGCTATACATGTCACTGGGGAATCGATATCGACCTCAGGCTAAATATTCGTATTCAGCTCCTTTACGACTACTGCCCGTGTGTCCTTGTTGTCCTTTCGACGCGTACTCATGTGTACTCTACTTGACCAATCGTCGTTCTCATCTCATCTCATGGAATTACAAAAAATTCCGCCTTGACGCTGACGAATCGCGGAGTTAAGGGTCTCGGGGTCTCTATCTCCCGAGTACTTGCTGCACGTCTCATCTTCCCTGCCAGCTTTTAGAGTCTTTCTCCTCTCGACGATATCCGTCCCTTTCATTGACACTCTTGGCATCCACATCCAGCTCTCTTTTCAACCAAGCCGACTCACACTTCCACAACACTACAACAGTACATTGCCAAGTCTCCGCTACCATCCTCCCATCTCCACCACGGCCCGAGAATATGCCACCCAGCAGCCGCAGGGTTCCAACAAGAACCATCTGGAAAATGTCGCCGTCGTTGGGGTAGGTCAGCGTTGCCTGTAATCCCCACCCCCATTTCCGTTGCCATTTCCATTTCCGTTTCCATTTCCATTTCCGTTCCCATTTCCCATTTCCGTTGCCATTTCCGTTGCCATTTCCGTTGCCATTTCCGTTGCCATTTCCGTTGCCATTTCCGTTGCCATTTCCGTTGCCATTTCCGTTGCCATTTCCGTTGCCCATGCCCTTTTCCGTTGCCATTTCCGTTGCCATTTCCGTTGCCCATTTCCGTTGCCCATTTCCGTTGCCATTTCCGTTGCCCATGCCCGTTGCCCATGCCCATTTCCGTTGCCATTTCCGTTGCCCATGCCCATTTCCGTTGTCCTTGGTCGTTGCCATTTCCGTTGCCATTTCCGTTGCCATTTCCGTTGCCCATGCCCATTTCCGTTGCCCTTGGTCGTTGCCATTTCCGTTGCCATTTCCGTTGCCATTTCCGTTGCCATTTCCGTTACCATTTCCGTTGCCATTTCCGTTGGCCGTTTCCATTGCCGTTTCCATTTCCGTTGCCCTTGGTCGTTGCCATTTCCGTTGCCATTTCCGTTGCCCATACCCATTTCCGTTGCCCTTGATCGTTGTCCGTTGTCCATTTCCGTTGTCCATTTCCGTTCCCATTTCCGTTCCCATTTCCGTTGCCATTTCCGTTACCCATGCCCATTTCCGTTGCCCTTGGTCGTTGCCATTTCCGTTACCATTTCCGTTGCCATTTCCGTTGGCCGTTTCCATTGCCGTTTCCATTGCCATTTCCGTTGTCCATTTCCGTTGCCCATTTCCGTTGCCCATTTCCGTTGCCCATTTCCGTTTCCATTTCCACTGCCAAAACCCGAACCCAATCCGCCGGCCGCCGCGTCGGCGAAGCCTTCGTGGAGCCGCTCCAAACTCGGCTAAAGCACAACGTCACCCGCGCCCAACAGCCCCAACACCGTCCCCCGCCGGCCCGGGCCGTCCAAAAAGGTCGACGTCGACACCGTCCCCCTGACGAATCCGACAGACATCTGTTTCGCGGAGCAAAGGGACCCGTCTCGTCTCATCCCACCCACGAAACACACGTCTTCCATACGGAAACCCGAACTTTCCGCCTCGAGGGAACAGCCAGCGGACGCCGTACGGGCCCGGGGGGGTGGAGGAGATGCGGAGGGGGGGACGTGGGCGGGGTTCGTGTACGCGGGCGTCTTCTGCGGGACTTGGAGGCCGTCCGAGGGCGTGCGGGATGGGGGGTTGGGTCTGCTCGGAGGGGGAGGTGGACGAGTGCGCGAAGGTTGCGGTGGGAGGGGGGGAACGGCTGATGGAAATTTCTGAGGAAGGGAGGTGGGGGGGAGGTAATTGGGGGGATTGATCTCTACTCGGACATGATAAGCTAATAGCGGGGAGCTATTCTGCTCGAGATTTATAGTGGTAGAGTTACAGGAGGCTCGAGAACAGAGGCCGGTAGGGAGATTGATAGATCCTGAGAGGCAATACCCAGGGTCAAAGTCTTCTTTTGTCTCGAATGATTTGTACTAAAACAACTGCCTTTCTTTTCAATGGACCTAGCGCTATGCAGCGCAACACTCATCTCAATCCATCTCCATGCCACCGCCACTCTCCGAGCCATCATTCTTCAAAGCCTCCACAAAATCCGAGTTGGCTAATCCAAAGTCCTCGCAATGCTTGAGCAAACGATCCGCCCTGGCACCCTGGGCGCGCTCCTTGATTCCATTCACGTTGTCGACCCTGATATAGGTGGCTGACCAGCTTCGCGAGATCAAGAAGTCTTGGGCCATGCTGTGAAGGCGGTCGAGCATCCACATGTTCGTACCGTCAAGTAGGTCCAGTAGCTCATCCAACCTGTCTGCAATCTCGGTGTTGTTTTCAGGGTCCTGCAGTTGTGGCCATTCGAATTCTCCGGTATACGCAAAATCGATTATTTGAGACAACGTGGTGGCCCGAAGCTCTTCGAGGTGGACGATCGCTTGGTGCTGCAAAAGGCGGCCCCATTCGCCGGCGAACTGCGCTTTGCAGTATTTGGAAACTGCAGCCAGGACAATCTTGTGGGCCGGATATTGGATACCTTCGGCTTCAAGGACAACGTCAGTCAGCTGGCGTTGATCCCGTAGGCTACGCATTTCAGCCATTGCTGCGGCCAAAGAAAGCTCTCTAGTATCCGCTGATGGTCCAGGGGCCGCTGGGGTTGGTTGTTTTACTGTTTTACAGCCCAAGCCCATCAAAAGCTTTTCATATGGAACGAGAAATTTCTTGGCCGTTTTCACGGGTAGTGGATCGACTTCGCACATGGGTCAGTTCAATAACTCGGTGCATGCGGAAGTGTTTTGCTTACCGGGACAGTTCAAGCAAAGCAACTTTGCGGATGTTGGACACTGCAGGCTGTCTTTGGGTACAAGCTCGACCTGTGTAGTGTCCAGATTGAGCCAAACACGGGCCAGGTGAATACCAGGTATAAGCTTCGTAACCTCGAGTTCGTTTTGAAGATGCTCATAACACGCCTGGACATCACGAAGGTATTCCGAAAGGTCATACTGTGTGATATCCTCGATGATGGCCATCAAGATGAGGAGATGCTCGTATACTTTCGCGGCAGGTGGGATTCCGCCTCGTGGAAGTCTTTGATAAACGTACGAGCAAGGGGGATTTTGCAAGAAGTTGGTTTGACTCCAGGCAATGCGAACATGGCCAAGGTTGCCTGCCTCTTCCAGAGCACAATGAGTTTTCTCACGTTGCATGCGAGTCCGCCGATAGCTGCTCTCGTTTGGGGAGACATCCCGCACACGGAATATCTGAGTTCTCGAAACCTGAGCCCAATTGGACCAACTGCGAAATTCCTGTCGATCGAACTGCAGATACTCTGACACTGTACGAGCATCCTCTTCAAACGTCTGAGTCGTATTAGCGGGGTCCCACCGTCGATCGATGGCTAGGGCACATTCCAGGAAGTGCTCTGGGATCATTGCGCCGGTAGGTGGCCGTGCTTGTAAGCCACCGGATAGCCAGAAAGTGTTGAGCGAGGCGGCGCGGAAGTCTACATGTAGGAACCGAATGTTTTCTTGGTCTCGAAACGCTGCCTTGAAGATTCCATCCTGGTGATCATAGAGGCCGTAAACTTCGCATAGGACGGAAGCCCCGTCGGGCGCCACTTTCCCAGAGGGTCTCACACCATGGACCGCGAGGTATTGTATCATCTCAAGATACCGTTCTCTAGAAGCCTTGACCTTGACATTTGTAGGGAGATCCGCCTTGATCAGATCCCATGTTTGTTGGGCTGTCAACGACACAATGTGCAGTTTCGAGAGCGCCTGTCTGTTCGAATTCACCAGCTTTGGGCTGACAAACCTTGCAAGATTGTTCACCCATGGCAACAGCAACTCTGTATGGCCACAGAAGTTGGCGTCTTCAGCAGCAATATGCTGAACCGACACCCCCGAGTCTGACGACCTCAGCCGACGCCAGACGGGAAGGCTGCGGAGAAGTGTAACATTGGAAGGATCCCCAATGTTCACGTGGTTGAGCAATAAGGCTTGTAGGATTTCTTTCGAATCGAAGTTTAGGCTCTTCCCCACGAACATCTTCGTTGGTGTTTTAGTCGTCCTTTCCAATTTCTCAAAAGCTTGTAGTAGACGTCCGAAAGAGGCAGTGCGCTTGAGATCACCTTCTGTCTCTAAAAGGAGAAAAGGTACGCACTTTCGGTCGATGATTTGGAGACCTGGAATCTGCTCACAGAGTCTGCGTTGCTGGTCGTCTAGCGGTTCAATGACGCAAGGCTGAGCCTCGAACTCGCGCGGCGTTAGGTAGCACCATTGTTTGTTGGACCCGAATCGGTAGATCTTACGGTCCTGAAGGCCACCCTTAGCCAGCATTGTGTCCGAGGATACCTCAAAGGATGAGGCCAAAGACCATGTGGCGGCGTGTAACACACGCATTTCGGTGTTGACATATAGCCAAAGCTTAAGCATCCACGCATCGCGGTCATCGAAAGCGATAGATGGATTTGTGGGCGATTGTGGTCGTGCTAAAAGGTCTCCCAAGTCAGAGAAGTCCAGTTTCCGGACATTGAAAGAGGCTTTCAATAACATGCCGACCAAGTCACTCGCATCCTGGGACAACTCTCTGTTAATCATGGAGTCGGAAGCGAATCCAAAGAGGTCTTGCTCTTCGGTTGTCGCAACGTAACTACAAGTAGAGCCTGGCGGAGCGTTCCAGAGGAGGAGCCCTAATGGTGCGTCAAGGTTTGGCCGAGGCAGCACTCTGCATCCGCCGAGAATACTCATTGGAGTCGTGTCAGTCCCGTCAGTCTGGGCTACCATCGTCTTGAGTAGCATTGCCATCGCTGCGCGTTTTCTCTCCTCGTGGCCAAGCCCGCGAATAAATTCCTCTAGTATTTTGCAGTTGTCATCATCTCTGAAAACCTGACAAAGGTAATCTGCGTGCAACTCCTTCGATAACCATGCCGCTTCAGCAGCTGCTCGCTTATAGTCGGGCCACAATTTTCGGGGGAGGCGAACGAGAGTCGGACATAATTTGACAAGGAGCGGTCGAAGAGCTTGGGAGACGTCATCAGGAAGGAAATCAAATCTTGCTTCTGCCAGAGAGACTGCCTTGTTTGACACCTCATTGCCCACAAGCAGGCCATCTTGATGGTCCGATGTATAGTCTTGTGCATTGATTGGAAATAGAGAGTCAAGCTTCCGGTCCCGACTCAACAGGCTGTTCCAGAAAGCTCTGCACAAAGTTTCCGAGAGCGAAGGTGATGAATGGTAGGTCGTCATTGATGGCCATAAATCAAAAATTTTCTCACACATTCTGGGTGCCAAGTATTGTAGAGTTTCCACGTAGAGACTGGTCACAGCTGTCGTCAGGAGCCAATTGTTCCACGCAGAATTCTCCGCAGTTTCTTCTAAGGCGATACTTCTGCGATCTCCAGTAACCGCGAAGCTGGCATGGAACGATACAGGAAGCGACGATGCCTGACCTGTAGGGAGTCTACAGAAGACTTTATGGTCGACATTTTGGATCGTGCCAGACTCGACATCCGAAGACTGCCCGCTCATGATAACACCTTCTCCAACATTAGGAATAACAGTCTTCACACTCTTCAGACAAGCTGCAATGCCACATTCCGCGGATTTCTCGGAACCTCTTCCAACTCTCGTGATATCTGCCGGAATCTGAGTTATGTTTCTGCGGCCGACACACCAATTGTCTACCTGCTGGAGTCTGCCTCCTTGGATGCTTGTAATTTCAACGTCTTGGCAGGTATCACTGTCTTGGCATGGTGAACGACGGGCGATGACAGACCACTGTGGATCCTTCTGGTCCCGAGTGCGGAATTCGACCGACTCAACATTGCGGAGAAACAGCAACGCCGTACGGGCAACAGCCAAGTAATCTCTGAGAAGCGATCGTACTGCGACAGCGTCTACGTGCTGGACATGGTCTTTCAAGAGGGTCTTTGCCCCGACTGCACGGAGAGGAAAGCGGAAAATCGTACCCTCATAGTGACTCAAGTTCGGAGCGAAGTTGTACAAGCCCGAGAATGGGGCCAACTGATCCGGCGCTAGATGGTTCACAGCCGAAAGAGATATCTTTGTTCCCACCTTGCGTTCGCGGCGTCTGTTGTAGTTTATAGGAAGGACCTTTTGCTGCGGGTCAAGGACCAGAAAGGAGTCACTGGAAAGCAGCATCGGCACGTCCGTGAAGTGATACATGCTTAGTGCTCCTCGCCCGAACATTCCAGTTGAATGGATGTCGTC